TGAAATTTGTTTTATACTTATTTGTCCATAAGTATAACGTTTAAAAAAAAAAATCAATAACTTCTCTGTTATTAATATCTATTCAAAATTTCTGTTAATACCGTTATTTTTTGTAAAAATGCTGTTTAATTTGTATTTTTACGGGCTAAATCGGGGAAAACTGCATCAAATAGTTATTGGCATATGCTCTAGAAATGTAAGGAAAGATGTACATGGTACAAAAAGTTTAATTTGAATACTTTCATTTTAAATATTTTTTCCATCGTCGAACCACTGTGCAACGGTCGGTATATGAGAGAATGTAGACTGTGATTGGTGTTATGGGAATCGAACCATCGAGTTTGCTGTATTATCATAATATCTGTTCATCCCTCTTTCTCCATTGAAACCTGGAGTAATGGGCTATTAATAGACTATTGCCAGATTTGGGGTGGAGTAGAAGGTAAAATCTCACCCCGAGCGCCTAAAACCCACGCAACCCACAGTGGGACGAGTAAATGAAAACTCGCGACATCTATTTGAATCTGTCTAAATCTACTTTTTTTTTTTTTTTGTAGTACTCCAAAAAACAGATAAACTGTTTTACTGATACATTGTGTTGTTAGTGGAGTTTTCGAGATTAATTTCAGTTGGCACAATATGCATTTTTCACATTTTTATTGATTAGTTGTACTGAAAAAAAAAATGATTAGTCGAGGGGGGTTCACTGAACGACGGCCTTGCTTATATTAAGTGCTAAGAAGATAATAGCTGTGAAATGTGGCAGACAATGAACCAATGAAATACGAGGTTATATAAGTTTTTAAGCCTGATACGATTTCTCGGACGTTTTTTATCGGAATATTTTATATAGTTTTAAAATAAAATCATGATTTAGTAAATTGTTTATAAATATGTTTTAAATATGTTATATAAATATATATTTACATACAGAGTGTCCTGCAAGTAGAGGGAAATATTTAAATGGCTGATAGTTGACATCAAGACCTATAAAAATATTGATATAAACAATTACTCAATTTCTAACACAAAACTAAGAAACTTTATTTTTTAAGCGTCACGATTTTTTGTTGAATATCAAGCAATAACATAAATAATATTTTATTGAAGTAATTAAACATTGCTCTATTGTAAACCAGACAAAATTTACTTTAAACGAAAGTATAGTTTGTCAATGTTAAAACTATTAAAAGTACACTATTGACCGGACAAACACAGCTAAGTTTTTTTTTTAAAAAAAGTCATAAATTATTTGTGATATTTTTTATCACCCTTTAACTGTGCTATATTTACTCCACTTTTACAAAAACTTCCTCATTCAATAAGCTTTATGGGTATATTAATTAAGTTGACGTTTATTTGGAAAACTTTTGAGATTCACCTCAAGTTGTGAAAAAAAATGAAGTGATATCTAATCAAGTCAGGGAAAGCCACGCTGCCCGAGGACCCCCACCCCTCGGGTTTGTGAAGCCCGTCAGCATACTGGAGGCAACTCACACCTACCGGGCGTAGGGCTGATGATCCTATCTCCGCGTACTTAAATCAGAAATCGGGATGTGGTCTAGAAGACCACATCTCGCGGTCAAAGATGTACAAGATCTGTAGCTCCAACCGAAAAAAAATAAATATATATACACATTTACCTTATGTCTGTATAAATTTGGCTATTATTATAATACAGGCTTGTTTACCAGAAATTCAAATGATAGAATACAGCATACTAACTTCCTTCACACTTATGCACTTATATTGCAATCTTGAAGTTAATCGCTTTTGTTGATATAATATAGTGGTAATTCCTACAACAATCAGCAATGGACTGAATACTGTTAGCGAACTGTATAAGATTAGGCAGAGTTATATCGAGAGCCTGGAGACACCCCAATCCAGTTACTGGAATATAATTCCAGCCATCTCGCGGCTCAACGAGGGAGCTCTAAATAGGCCGTCGCCACTCCCTCTCCTCCCCCCCTTCCTTATCAAATGGAACAGGGAAAACCGAACTCCCTGTATCTCTCCATGCTCTTTGTCAGCCTGCCAGCGTGATACATTATTTATATCATGGCGAGGTGTGCTCAGCACGCTGGATAAACTGTATCTGCTCTCTATAAATAGTATAAAATATACCAGCTTGTATCGTACACTACGTTTATCGTACACTCACAATAAAGTATATCAGACTCATCTTCGATCGAGCACTGCTTGTTAAAATGAAAAATTCCCATGTTAAAAAGGACCTTAAAAAAGTTTTCACTACTTCACTAAAGACTAGAATAATAATAAATACAGTCATAAATGTAAGTTATAAATAAACTAAACCATTTTTCAGTTTTATAAAAAAGATTAAAAAACTTACAATATTTTTAATTCGAAATTTTTAATCCAAAAACGTAAATCTCCCATGACTTCTATTATGTTACTTAACTTCCTGATTGTGACTACTACCAATAAAAGAAGATTTAAAGGGATAACAAAATTTCTCCCAAGTAGGCTCAGTATTGCTTACTCGCCACTTCTATTAATTACGTCTATTACCTTAGTTACTTAATTACCTATATTTCAAGGTGGGCAATTGATAGTTTGAAATTGATACATAATTGATTATTTTGTCACCAGTTCCTAACTGCCTTCCAACTTTAGGTCAAAACAAACCACAGTTTATGACATTAAGGCATGTTGAGGAAAATACCTTATCAAATAAATATTAAGAAAGTATTTGATTGAAGTCGATAAAATTGATCATTCCAACTTTTCAGCCAAAACGAATATGCCATTTTTTAAATATACGCATGTCCAGCAAAATTCATTTATACTTGTGTAAACGAAAATCAGGAGTGCTATTTTGAAAAAATTGATAAGAAGCCATTAAGATAATAACCTATATAATCTCTTAAATCATTTAAATTCATTAATTAAAGAAAATCATAAGTAAAAATAAATATTATTTTTTTGCAATTTATTAAAGAAAATCCATTTTATGTACCATCCAATGTAGTCGCAGGAATTTTACTAAATATTGACACGGAAAAAACGAAAAAAATTCACACGATTTCGCTTCCTATTAGGTTCAGAAAAAAATATTAGGTAATATCAAGATGGCAACCGAAAAGTCTGCGTTGCAATGGACTGTAGCGTCTAAACGGATGTACCGATTTCAATGAAACTTCGCTAAAGTCTTCTTCTCGATACCCTTTAAATTTATCTATATAACATACTTCAAAGAAGAAGGACGGAAACTTGGATTTTTTTAATATTTACTACATACTTAACAATATAAAAGAGAAACGTGAATTACCCTCGGTTTTGTCAGGAAACATGTCTTAATTTGACTTGGCTCGTTGTCTTTTGATACAAATAATTGTCCTGAATCGAAAGTATGTTCCAAATCAGTTTAACTGCGGTTTACCAGGCCAATCTTAATTTTCGATAGATTTTCATTCTCACCTCTTCCCACAGTAATTATTCCAGCTATGTTCTTGTTTCGAATTTAGTTGAAATTTGATGGCGTAATTACGTAGACATCTTCACTAAATTTGTAAAACATGGATGGACAACCTTCTATACTTGAGGATTGAAACTGAATTCAAGAAGATTTCATAATTTACCCAACGCAGTCCTCTGCACAGAAGTTTTACATACATGCTACTGTGCTAAAACATAATACAATATTTAATTGATAATAGAGAACATATTTCATGTAAAAATAGTGTTAATCTATGAAGATATTTTATTGCTGGTTAGTTATTAATTTTTTTTTTCTCTCTCTCTTTCCTTGTTTTTTTTACGCAACAGTCTATAGCCCTCTCTGATAAAATCAATATTTACTTAATACTACATAAATCCTGATTTTGAAATAATTTGGGCTCAAATCACTGGCAATTGTATGAAAAAACAATGTATGAAATGTATTTAATTTGTCCATTAAAAGATATTTAACGACTTATTGAGCGAAGTACCCAACCGATTTTTAAATTAAAATATTCAAACGACTCACTGAGATCCCATGAATGTTTCGCAACAATTTAAGCTCAACTTTTTATAAAAAAAAAATTTTATTCTGTTTTAAGTATTCTCAAATTTGAACTCATTTCAAATCATATCATGTGTAAAATCATGATCAAGCGTGTTGAATATAAAGTGTTAATACTTGAAAAACTAAATAGATTAAAATGAAATAAAAAAAATGTGAAAAAAAGAATAAAATGAAATTTTCCATGTACTAGCAAGTGCATGTTGACATCCAAAAGAATCTTCAGTTTCACTCGATTACTACACCAGGTTTAAATATTCGTAGATGTCAATTTTCGTTACAATCTACCAAGGTGTTCAATTAAATATGGAAGAGAATTTCCTTGATGGACAGGATTTTCTGATTTTTTAAAAATTCAAATATATATATTAAACACTGTTTAAATGTTGAAATAAGCAACTTTTTAATGGATTAAATCATACAAAAATCTGAATTTTTGTTTCACCCTAATGACAGTAAAACTATAGTAAAAGACAAGAATTGTAATTATTTTATTTTATTAATTATTAAAAAAAAAAAACTCTAAGTCTCTTAAGATGAAGTTAATAACGGACCGAGTAACTTTTGGTCAATTATAAGCATAATCAGGAACAAGTTTTTTTTTTATGTTATATCATATTACTAAAAATCTGTTGAACTAAAATTTGAAAACAAATATTTTACTCCCTATCATCTTTTTTTAATTTATTTTTTTATTCTCTTTGTTCTTTTTCCTTATTCTTTTGTTATTACTTTATTTATTTATATTTCTGTATATACGGTATGAATGTACTCTCTGAACTCTATTATAAGTGTCCTTAACCGTGACAGATTGTAATATTTCTCAATAAAATGTTTTTTTATATATACTTCCTATTATCGATGTATAAACCACGTTTTAACTCTCTATTATAAGGCAAAAGCCATCAGGTTCTAGCCTCACCCCAAAAGATGCCCTGCTTTGACTGATTCGCATGTATTTTGTTTCCAGGCACTTCTTAAGATTTCTTCGGCATTTCTCAACAGGAAAATACCCAACATCCCGGATATCAAAACAGAAGGATCGGAAGAAAAATGGTGAGTACAATTTTTTGTTGGTCTACTTCTTTCAAATGGCAAATTCTTGTGATTCACCTAAATGCGTGTTAAAAAATTATGTCAACTTATATCCAGTTACCTAATAGTGCTCGTATTTTCATCAAAAAGGATTATAATTAACTGTTTCAAAGCTTTTATTTCTAGTTTAACCATGATACGGGATGTATTTTGATAAACACAATTGTCTGAAAACACATTTTACAAATAAAAATATAAAATGTTAAAAATAAAGACTTTTCAAATGTTTTTCATGTAATGTATTACGAAACTGAGTTTTTCTTCGAGATCTGTGGCATAGGAATTGATCCGTATTCATAAGTGACAAATTTAATGTTTTTTCAAGGGACCCCACGATGGTTAGTTTTTCCTTCATGATAAACTTTAATTATTTCTGTTTGTCTCTCAGGGTCAGTAATAGTATCTACAATTGTTTAACACAAAATGATCCTATCGGCGCCTGTACGCTCAGTATTGCATAAGTGCTTAGCGCGGTCTAAAACGATTTTATATCCAACATACAGGTAATATGTCTTGCCCCGCTTGGTAATATCGTGGAGTATGAGGATGATATCTGCCGGTGACAACGCAGCAACGGTCCATATGGTCACAATATTCTGACGCCCGTATTTCGAGTGTTCTGTTTGTACCATGTCCTTCTTACGCCTTTTCCAGATAATCTGGCGTGAGTGGTGGTTTACAATAGTATCAATTTCCCTAAAATCATGATGTTTAGTTTTCGCCGAATCTTCGTCATCGTCACCATGGATGTCCCACGAGGGACATGTTCCCTCCCTAGCAACACCCCCAGATGGAGCTTCATGGAGCGGTTTTGAATACGAGGCCCGAGACAGCCAATCTGCCACAATATTTTGGGAGCGTTTTTGATGTAAAATTTGGAGTTAATAATTTGTTCTTAATTTCTCTTTCCATTGCCCAACTCTAGCCAAAGATTCTTTGAGCCCATCCGTCCATAAGAAAGTCTTATAATCAGTATAACAGAAGGAGAGTAAACTTCCTTCCGAATACGTTGGCGCGAAAATGATCAATTGCCCAGAAAATCGCTAGAAGTTCTCGCTCCAGCTCACGATACCTCGACTTGGCATTAGAAAATTGTCCACTGGCAAAGACCACAGGTCTATCCCCAGTACTCAATTATTGTGTTTATACCCCCTCCCTCAAGTGCCTTTTCGCTTGTATTAGTTGTAATTATAAATTCGTACTAGAAATCTGGGAACGCTAAAACTGGCTTCATGGTGAAGGCTTCCTTGCTGTTATAAAATCTATTTAAATGCTCTTCAGTAAAGATCACTCATTAATTCATTCACTTGTGGCACTCCAGTCTTGTATGTGCGTGCATAGATCCCCGTGCATTGTGCATCCTACTCCGCCTTTTGCATGTTCCTGGTGGTTTATTCATGAAAACAACAGCACATAATCACCAATTTGTTCCTATCCCTTTACTTTCTTTTTTGTTTCTGTTAAGCCTTCTATTTGTATTGGGCCTTCTTTAATTTCTCCATTAGCTCCATCTCCTTTCCTCTTATTCCCTTAACATTCCATGTAGCAAGTGTGAAAAACCTTTTTCCGCGACGAGTCCTGCACCATGATATCCTACCGGCTCTATTTCGTTCTGAGCTGTTCATAAATTTGTATCTCGGATTGATAGGGTACGGGCCTGTCGTACCCAAAGCCTGATGAAGGGAGCCTGATGGAAGCCTTCTTATAGCTTCCAGGCCAACTCTCCCTTACTTTATGACGTATTTGGAAAAGTGTCACTACTGACCTGAGATGATGGTTGAATGCACCCACTCAGGCTGCAAAGAGATCTCCCTCCTCCTTTCTCAACCGGGCTTGGAACCGGCTATGGCGGAGTTTATGCACTACCTATCATATATAAATAATAATATAAATGTTATTTGGTTCAAAACAGCTCATCTTAGAAAGTTCTTCATTGATTCCTTTGAAATTTTGATACAACGTTGCAATCACATTGAGGAATTTTATATATACATTTCATTATCATTACTTTCATTTCAAAATGAGGGCCGAAAAACGTGATTCGCTTTAGGCTAACGGATGTAACGAGTTTAATGAAACTTGGTAAAGTCTATCTCTTGAAGACTTTATCATTTATGTGTTTAACTCGAATAACTAATAATACTTGGGAATAATGTTTGATATTGATAATTTATATTTATTTAAAAGCTTTCTGAATTTCCTACAAAATAAAAAAAATCATCGTAATCGGTCGATTAGGTTTTCTTATATAGCTTTTTAAACCTATGAGTATTTGAAAGCTTCTTAAATTCCCATATTATATGAAAAAAAAATCATGAATATCACAAAGAATCTTGTCCGATTAGATATTTTGTTGTATTTTTTTTTTTTTTTTCATTTCTTCTGTTTATATTTTTTAGGAGAGCTCTATTCTGACTAATTTATGTTTGAAATATAGCTATAATACATATGCAATATTGAAATGAAACTATTTGTTTCTGAAGCAGCAACGTGGTTTGATAATTTTTAAAGGAAAAACAAAATTAAGATTAATATTCCGCAGCTCAAAAAACCCAAAAATACGAATTTCCTTAGTCATCGAAAAATAAAAATGTTTTGCCTCAAAATTGAACCGAGTGAGGAAAGTGAGTTAAAATACTTTTTTTTTAAGTTCAATAGATTCACATTTTTATTTGCCAATAACTTAAAAAGTAAAAAAATACTACTGTATTGTTTTCATTTGTAAATATAGAGGACAATTTATATTAATGTATATTGGGAACGAAGTATCTCAGTGAGTTACACACCCGGCCGCTAAGCTATAGGTCCCAGGTTCGAACCCGCCTGTGGCAGGTAATTATTTATTCTGTTTCTTCTGCCGTAGATCTACCCTGAGCACCGTGAGAAAGATCCCATTGGAGCACCATCAGGCTCTATAAAGTAATTAAGTAATTCTTTATTAGGAAAAACCTTGCGGTTAAACCTGACACTGGCCCGATCATCTCCTTGCACAATCACTGGTCTTAAAACCGTACTTCCTAACAAAGAACTGAATCCAAGACGCTTCATGTGTAGTAGCGGTGAATTCTTTTTTTTTTATTTTTTAGAATCGCATAGAAAGGAGCAATTGAGTGAAAAATGTTTGTAAAAAACGACAAACATACAAATGCAGATAATTTTCAAAGTAATGAGATCCTTAAGTTTAAAAAAGATCTAAAATATGATACTAAACGCATAGAGCCGTCGAATCGCGTGCAGTCTAGCTATTATCTCGATCCCATTCACGTGGTATCACCGTCGTTCCTTCAACTCTATTGAGTAATCATTACTTCCTATTCAATCTTCTTCTATTATTATCTTCTTCGAAGAATGCGTCTACATACGTAATTTATGTTTATATTTATGTTTAAGAATGCTCTGTAGAAACCCAACATCCAAGGTGGATTGTACAGACAACAGAAGATAATATACCTCTTTCTGATTCTGCTATCTGCTGATACAGTCAAAAGGATTCTGCCAACAGAAAGTGGTATCTTCTGTTATATACTTGAAACCAGCTATTGCAGAATACAACTATTGCTTACAGGCTAACTGATCAACTAATATTAACTTTAATATCTAGAAGAGGGGACAGGATTAGAACCTACATAATAGTATCTCACTTTTAACAAGAAGCTGAATTATTGAACGGTCTTGTGTCCTACTAAAAACTAAGCAACTAAAATAACATCAATTTAATCATAATAATAATTTAAAATCTGTTTTATTTTATTAAGTATTTTTTAATCCTTTATAGTACGGTAGTAAAACAGATAACCGGCCTCATAAAATTTACAATGATCCTGCAAGAAACGAACAATAATGAGGTAAATAATAATCAAACTCCTAATGAAAACAGGTATAATTGTAATTTATTTGTCTATAAAGCAACAAAAGTTAATTATTACATATTAATATAAGTAATAACACAGTAAAATAATTGTAAACTTTATTCATAAAAATATAACTTTGCAAACGTAAGCATACATAATACGAGGCACGAGGTTGGTCGATCTTCTTTCCTTGTACAATACGCCATAACCTCTTATAAATATTAGGATCCTCCTACGAACGGCAACACTGGTGACTGTTATGTTAAAATATGCTGCCTTCCTCGGGTTTCATATTAATAACACAAGAAAAACTTGTTAATAATTGTTAGAGATTTTGTGTGTAAAAAGGCTTACTCAAGCTACTCTGGGTGTGAAATAAATCCTGACGGTTTTGTTATGTCCATTCAATATGTTCACTGAACATATTAATTACAACATTAATGATGAACATATAACGGAGGACTCATCAAGATTTGAAAATGACCCTTAGTATGGTCGAAACGTCAAAATTAATGCGTATCAATAAAATGTTGGTGATAATTGGCCTAATTTAATGTAAAAAATTACAAAATTTAGTTTGTGATTTTTATAACCATTCTCAAATTATTGGGATAGTTTAACTGCACTTTTTGTAATAATTTTAAAAATGATGGCAATCAAGAAAATTAATATGTATATAAATAAATAAGCTATTAATAGAAAATTTGAAAAATTTGATTAGTATTTCAAAGAGTATTAATTTATTTAGGGATGTTCGGTAATCAGAGGCTCAATAAACAACCCCAATCTTCGAATAAATTCAATCAAGGGACAAAAGTAATCAATTTGGACGAGTTGAATGACCCAAGTGTTCCATTCTGATTAAATGCCGTTAATTAATTCTCCTTTTTAGAAAAGGACCTAATTAGAGAAATACCTTATCGCTAAAATTTGCTTTAATTCATTTTAATTTACCTAAGTTTAATAATTAATTTATTATGTAAAAATGTCAACATCAAGGTTTTATATTATCTATAAAGAACTCAACATTCCATTTGTTACAGATTTGGACGTAATAGATATTCTCTTAATTCCAATCTCCTCGGTCAGCCATTCTTCTAAATCATACCCTTTCATTCCAAACTATTCCTAAGAAGCTTACGAGAAGTATGAAAAATAGGTGTCCAATGGGCCGCCTAAATTAAAATAATGATTATAGTCCTACCAATGGTTTTTTTCTCCACAAGCTGCTATCATATTTAATATTATTGTAACTTATTTGCTTGTTATATTTTATTTATACAGTTGTTATATTAAATAAATGATCTTAAAAAAAAGAAATGAATTGAATGGACATAACAAAACTGTCAGGGTTTATTTCACACCCAGAGTAGCTTGAGTAAGCCTTTTCACACACAAAATCTCTAACAATTATTAACATGCTAAATTATTAACAATTATACAGATTGTCTTGTCGTATGTTATAAAGCAAGTAATTAATTATATTATAATGCTGCTTCTTGCTATTCTATTAATTGTTTTCCTTAAAACTTTAACCATAACCTTCCATCCACAATGAAATAAGTTCTGCGACTACAAAATTTCACTCCACCGTTCCCCGATATTGTCCGTGATTCGTGTTAACCGCATAATTCATCATTATCGGTAATTCCTTTACATATAAATTAGAAAATACATTTTTTTATTACGGCTCTAATTAATTAATTCGAAATAATCGACTTTGTGTTAACGAGGGATGTTTCTGTGAAGTTAAACTATGGTTTTATTGATCGAATACTTCAATAGCTAAGTCGAAATTCTACCCCGTAAATCGAAAACATTTTTGGTGATAAGTAAAAATGCTTTCTGGCATAATTATAACATAATATTCAACATCACTTTCAATTTTCTACCATCTGCATGATTATTGATTTTTTTTTCTCCCCATAATTACAAATTATAATGCTGCAGTTTCTCTTTACTATCACCAACTTGTCGAAAATCAAATTTTCATGTGTTCCAAAATCTAAGAGATTACTCGAGTGAAGATGACATATCTTACAGATTGTCTTGTAAAAGAGCAATCTCCATGAAAGCCCTGAGGAGGTGAAGCTAAGAGGTTGAAGTAATGAGAAGGATAATGTCCTTGGCAACCTGTTGCCTCGTGGACATGAAGTAGGTAATTTAATTTGGGCCTCTCTACGTGGTTCTGTCCTGGCTTATTTTGATCTAGATTTGGATAAGATTTTAACTTTCAGTTCAACTGGGAAAACATCCGTATATCCGAATTGAATATAAATATATAACAGTAATAAAGATATTGCGACAATCCAAAAATATTAAAGAAATAAAAATATGTTACATATAAATTAAAATTTTTGAACCAAAAGGAGTTCAAAATTGTTCGATACGTCATCCCAGTTAATAGTTATGTGATGATTATGGTTAATTAAATATTGTGTAGTTGAACGACTTTCTGGAAATGATAAATTATAAAGTAATTTCATTATTCGCGATTTCATTATGTTTTTAAGGAAATGTATCATCATACCACTAAAAATACATTTTGTGCCTCGTTAAGAGTGTAATGAGCAAAGTTTAATTTTTTATGCAAATCATTCATTCAATACCGAATAAGTAGAAACAGCCCCCATTTTGAAAATTAAATATTTGCAAGTTACGATGAGGAGAAGCTATTCATGAAGTTTTAAGCTGATGTTGAAATTTTAATAAAAGGGGTCTTGAACCATCGACTTTAAAGCTAGCGTTACTTTGTAGGTTGAAAATACGATTATAATCTGAAATTTTTTTTGTCTTCACTGTTGCATTTTAATTTTTTTTATTTCTTTTGTTTAATCAATTGGAAAATCAATATACGTAATTACAAACATTCATCATAGAATGCACAATATTAAATTTGACTAATTACATCTGATTTGTAAACATTTTTGATCAGCAGTTTCAAACAAAATATGAAATTGTGTAACAATCCAGGTCTTTACTGTAACTGCCCTAATAAATATTTGTTTATTGTAAATAAGTCTTTATTTTTTTCTAAAGATCTCTGACAATAGTATTGTTTTCAACCACCCATTTTAGGTACTTTAAACATTTTTGTAATAATTGAAAAGCTTTTATTAATTGATTTTATCTTCAATAGGGGAGATAAACCTTTCCCTATAGAAAAGCTCTTTATTGATAGTGCTTTTTTCCTATAGAGCTTTTACGATCTTCTCGGCTCCCTTGAAAATATTTTTATAAGTTTCTTTTGAGAATCCATCACTCAATTCATTGTGTTTGTTTAAATGAACTCATTCTTTTTTTTTTTTTTCTTTCTCTCTTACTTTCTTTTTTCCTCGTTTAATAAACTCAAAATTAAAATTCATAATGCTCTAATGAAACGTAAAGTGACTGTGGGAAATTGAATGAAAACATGAATAGAGGGGTTGGTGCTGTTGACGTTATTGGCATGGGAAAGGATTTCCCAGTCAACGGATTTCTGTCGGAGCCCATTGTCCTCCCTGTTCACCCATTATTCACATGCTGCCAACGGTGAACTTGGATACAACAGAGAGCTTCGTGATTTCAGCCGTCTTCAGCTAATGAACAGCAGATCTCGTTTAATACCGACATGCGACACAGTTGTAACTCTAGATGTCCACTAACTTGACCAGGAACAATGGTATATTTTCCAAATATCCAAATGAGGAAACTTTTTTAGCACAAAAGAAAAATATACTCAGAGTGACAGTTGACAAACTTAGAAACAAGACAGTTATTAACTAAAAGTACGCATATGTATATATTTACAAATTTTCTTCAATCTACCTTTGAGTATTAGATTTTAACATAATTATTTAATTCGGAACAAGGTCACTTATTAATTATTCAATAAACTAATAAATATCCATTGCTTCAGTGTTTATTCGACGTTTCGATCGCGGTTTTTTATAAGTTAACAATGAGATAATCTTCAAAATTTTAAAATAGGGTCTCGATATCACAGGCCAGGGACACACCTGCAGTCTCAAAATCGTTCACCAGCACATATATTAAGCTGCTCAGTAGCTCCCATTGTTAACTTATAAAAAACCGGGATCTAAACGTCGAATAAACACTGAAGCAATGAACATTTAGTAGTTTATTAAATAATTAATAAGTAACCTTATTCCCTATATATATATATATAGGGAATAAGGTGATATATATATATATATATATATATGGGAGTGGGGTAGCTCAGTGGTAGGGCACTGAGCATCCAATGCAAAGGTCCCAGGTTCGAACCCAGGCTCATGGAAGAAAATTTATTTCTGTTTCATTGGCCGTGGGGCGACCCTGGGTTGGAAGTCCCTCCTGGAGCACACCCAGCCTCTATAAAAGTGGGTACCCTTAATTAAATAATTGATTAAGAGGAAAAACCTGACGGTTGAGCGTGATCTCAGCCAAATCACCTCCTTGCACAACCGTTGACCTAGAAACAGTACTTTCCCTAAATAGTACTGAACCCCAGACCCTTCATGGGTTGTAGTGGTACAGGTTTATATATACATATATATATATATATATATATATATATATTGTTTTAGTAAATAACTGCCTATATATGTAAACAAATAGGTATATTAAAAGGAACTTGATAGGAAAATTTTAAGGTGCCTAGAGCATACCAAAAAATATACGTTTTTCTTTTTTTTTTTTTTTTTCAATTTATGTTTTTCAGGTAAGCTCTGCTAGACAATTTAAATATCTTTAAAATTGACAACTGCAATATTCTACCATTTTTAACCAACTAAGCGAAGGATCGATCATGTATTTCAGTCGTCCGCTATAACCAATGGAACGCTTTTTTGAGCGAACCGCTGGATCGTTTTTCAAGTTTGTTGGTTCAAATTATTCAGTGTGATCCACTAACTGTTTTGAAACTATTTGAGCTAAAAATACTTACCCGTGATTAAATAAAATGAATTTTATCAATTTCCAAAAAGTTTTGCAACGCTGTTTTAAGCGAATGGCTGGATCAATTTTAAAGTTTGATATATTATATTATTTATCTAGGTCCTCTGAGTGTTTTTGAAGAAAAACGAAACGATGGTAATGCGTTTGGGGTATCCGCTAAAAGGTATGTAACGTTGTTTTGAAGGAATGGCTAGATCGATTTTCAAGTTTGATGGCTCAACTTATTCGGTGAGTTTCTGTGAGCGTTTTAAAATAGTTTGAGCTCCAAATTATATAAAATTACTGTGTGAAGTGTGTTCAAGTAATCCGCTAAAAGGTACCTAGGTGAGCGTATGACATAATCGATTTTTAACTTTGGCTGGCTGTAATTACAATTTCCACTAGTAAGTGGGAAAGAAAGTAAACGGCAGTACACCTTTCATCAGTAAACTGTTGACTTTTATTAGAAACAAATCGAAGGAACATACTGAGAAAGAAAGGCTATCATTAGTCGTATGTTGCTGAGCAACAACCTGGAAATAAAATAATTTCTTGCCTGGGTCGAATTTTTAAATAAAAGCGAGGAAAAGAGATTTATTGTTGGGAGCAAATTAAATAACATTAGTAAATAGTAAATTATGAATCTCAAGATTGAATGATAAAATAAATATAAATTTTAGTACGAACTATTCTATATAATATTAAATCTCAGACCAAGTAGCAAGAACGAGAGAGATAATTGAACATTCAGATCATGTATTGTCAAAAAAAAAATATATATATAGATTAATGCAGGGCAGTGTAAGGTCAAAAATCTTTAGAAAATAATCAACACGGCTGCTTAATTCCCATGGAGAAATCTCTTAACCTAGTTTCGAAGAACGACCGAAGTGTTTTTGTTTGAAAATGTAATAATTATTTTACTACCTACTTTACATGAATTACAATTCAGTTATGATATTATTGACAACACAGATATAACATATTGAAGTTTTATAAAAGATTACTATCATGATTTTTATTGATGTGTTTAATATTTTATTATTTTATCTTTTCATGTGGATTTTTTTGGATCTTCTTTAGGAATATGTGGAACGTTTGGAGAACTGTCCTGGAAGAAAACGAAAAGCTAGCAAGAGCGAGACTTGCAGCGGTGGAAGTTTTTTCACAGCATGTAGCTGACGACGCAAAAATTCTGAGGGCGAATAAGGTGGTCAATGCCAAGAGGGTAAGTCTTTATAGATTGAACCAATTAAAATAAAAAAAAATCAATGAAACTGTATGGATATTAAAACTTATGAAACTTTAACATTTTATGGTAAATATACCATAGTAAGGCTAAAATACTAATAATAGTCTATAAAATATTTGTTTAATGAGTCGGAAGTCGCTTTACTTATCATCATCATAAGTATATCTGATTAGTTGATCTAGTTTATTTTTGCAGTTTGATCATTTCAGGGAGCGTTTCCGATTATTTAATAGAAAACATTCATTATTATAAGGGCTCAGAGGTTTTGATTCTAGAGCCGTATCCGCGAGGCCTAATTATATCCTTCATGTCACTCAATGGTTATGAGATCGATAAGCGAGCAAATGAAAAAGAAGAGGATTAACCAATAAAACAATCTGTGAATTGTTTATTAATAATAATTAATTAAATAATATCTGTTAATGGTCGGGAGGTCGAATGGGCGTGTGCAACACTACTTACCCGGCAACATGATAAACAGGAGTTTAAACGATAAAATAATTACTATTTCAGGTCTCGGTGCCAAAGAAGTTTTTAACTTTGGTATTAATCCCATCCTCTCCCCTGGACTGGGAAAGCCCGTATAGCCTAAAAGAAAAGGAAGGGGTGGGAATAAATTGTTTTAATGGATTCAACTAACCTAAACATGAAAAAATTAACAACTAACTATACACTGACATATAGCTATTTACTGGTACGATTTATTACTACTGCCCTGGTTTGCACATCGTCCTGTCACGGTCGGTACAATTTGGAAAGAGATGGAAAGACGTGGTGTACCTCGTCAGTTCTGCGAGGCACTAACAGATAACGACAACGTATCGATAGTACCATTGAATTCATTAAGAACATAGGGCTAATTCAACTAATCTGAACTAAATTATTTTTCTATCTTTCCATCTCATTTTCCATCTCTTCATATATTGCGCTATTTCTTTCCAGTTATCTGTATATAGATCTGTTGTGTCTTTGTTGATTCGATCTATTGATCTGATTTTTGTCCTTCTAAGTGGCCTCTTGTCTATTGAGGCATTGATGTGACTTGTTCAGTGATGTGAATATCTCAATAGACAAGGAGATAACATCGAGCTACATGTCCCTCCCATCTTAACTTCCTCTTCTTTATATTATGAAATATCTAAATAATGCTTATCCAACGCAGTTGACTTATTAACATGTCTTATGGTAAAACGACTTCATTCTCATATAAAAAAAAACATGGTTTTTCACATCATTCGGCTCAGAAAGATATGTTCTAATTATGAGTAAAATGTAACCCTCGAATACGACTCTCTAAGGCTTCTGTGGAAGAAGAATCGTTCTTGGTGATAATGAAACTTCTATCAAGAGATAAAAACATAACCTTACGAAGATCATTCAGAAATTTTTAATGTGGAAAGATTCAACCCAAAACTAATTATGCCACTCACGAGTAGTATGCCAATTATAAAAATATATGTAAAGAATAGTTAGTAGTAAATTAATCCAGAATTTAACTGTCCTATACAATCATTAAATATCACTGCTTCATCGCCGATGTATAATACCCGCCGTTCTTATGTATCGGAGAAAATATAAAAGTAAAAGTCCGTAAAAATACAAAAATTTGAAGAACATTTTTATGACGTTTTTTGATACGTTCCCCACAAGGGGGTGTAAATTATACAAGGAGGAACTAGTTAAATGGAACAAAGAGCCACTAATTGGAAAGCTACGTTTAATAGAGGAAAGCGATTGGTGTTAAATCACTTCCATAGCAGCTAAACTAATAGCCTTCATTGTTAAAACTAACTACATGGTTCTATCATCGATGATAATTGTTACGTGGTCACGGAATCAAAGAGGGTGCGATTACAGACAATTGAATCGTAACTACTGCTTCCACAAGTATGAAAGAGCACGCCAATGTTAAGCTGATACTTTGGGGGGAAGGGAAGGTTCAAGAAGCCGAGAAATAACTGCTGAATAACCATAAACATCAGTTAATGTATATAATAACATTATGTTACATCGTTTCTTCGTTAGTATTAAAATACTTAAATTGTTTATCACAATAACATATTATTATAATTTATGAATCATTAACTTAATTATACGCTGAATATTGATTTGACCTAGTAGAAGAGTGGAAAAAGAAATAACTAGGACAAGGCTACTAGAAAATTTCAATAAATCATTACACTAGCCAACAGTGAGGTTTTTATTATACATATATATATATATATATATATATATATATATATATATATATATATATATATATATATATATATATATATAGAGAGAGAGAGAGAGAGAGAGAGAGGGGGGGTGAGGGAGAGAAAGGGAGAACTACATGTCCCTCCCATCTTAACTTCCTCGTCTTCATAATATGAAATATCGTAATTATGCTTATCCAATACAGTTGACTTATTAACATGTCTAGGGTTTTATGGTAAAACGACGTCATTCTCACATAAAAAAAACATGAGTTTTGAAATTATTCGACTCTGAAAGATATGATCTAACGATGGATAAAATGTAACCCTCAGATAAGACTCTCTAAGGTCGTAGTATGAAGAAGAAGGTAATAATAGGAAGATGTTAAATAAGTTAAAGATATATTATTGAAAACAAATGAGCACATAGTCAGGAATGTAAAAAAAGAAATGCACCTAAATACAATATATAGAATCCAGAAAAGGGAAATCGTTCCCTAGAGTAGAAAAATTCAAATACCTGGGCTTCATAATAACCTCAGAGAATGATTAATGGTCTGAAATAGATCTGCGTATAACTAGTGCAAACAGAGCTTTATTCTCCCTTTCAATGGTATTGATATCCCACAAAATCTCTAGGAATCTCAACTTTAGGGTATACAATGCTATGATAAAGCCAGTTCTAATATAAGGCTGTAAGATCTGCTCACTAACCAGCACTGTAGAAAAACTATTGAAAGATTTGAGAGAAAAATCCTCCGTTATTGTTTACCAGAGCAATATTGGATCAGAGTACTAACACATGGAGAAGAAAGACCATTAAAGAACTTCTTACTGAAACTGGTCAATCAATATCCCGTGATATGAACTCATGGAGGTTAAGATTACGAGTAGCTTATAGCAACCCATCCACGTAACAATAAATGCCTCAATAGAAGGCAAAATACCACGTGGAAGGCCAAAAAGCAAATGGATAGATAAAATATACAAAGAGAGAAATGGCCCAAGACAGGGAGAGATTGTATGTAGGGGCTTGTTAATGCCGTAAAAGATCTAGTTATTAATATATATAATATATATAATAGTTATTAATATATATATATATATATATATATATATATATATATATATATATATATATATAAGTTATGGTTAGATGTAAGACAATATAATATTTAATCCTATCTGTAAAGTATAAACAAACCGTAATGCTATATATATAGCATTACGGAGAGAATAAAGTCAGTCTTTACCGAGCAACCGAGTGTGTTATTTGCTATCCTTTCTTTCTTTTTTTTGTTCTTTCCTGTTCAGACGATCGTAAGTTATATATATATATATATATATATATATATATATATATATATATATATATATATATATATATATATATATATATATATATATATGTTTAAAGTTGGGGCATCTAATGAACTTGGTACATTCTGAAAGTATCCACTTTTTCCTCCCACCCCTACCTTTCTTGATATTTTTTTATCGATGCTAAGGTTTTGAACCTCCAAAGATTCTCCAAATTGATTTAGAGGGTTCAAAATTCGTATGCGAAATTTAAAATACGTATGCGAAATGAGAAATAAATAAACATAGCTGTTACTACGTTTCAAACAATTGCAAGAAATTTTGGTTCCATTTCCCAAATCGCCCGGAAAACTACATAGACCCTATTGTTAAAAAAGGTTTGAACTTCTCAAAACTGTTTTCAAACCTTGCCTCATCCGACCACCCCGGTATTTTTTAAGGATTTAACAAGCGGGAATGTTGAATTTAGAGTGACTAACATTACTTTTTATTTGTTTAATTTTTTTTATTAGCGTATTCCAGTTCCTCCTGGGCTCTCAGCTTTTCATCTTACTCCAGCCACTTTGATAAATTAAATTTTGAAACAAATTATAAAAATCTTTAAAAAAAAACTAGAGGGAGAAATTTTAAAAGTTTAATTAAATTTAAAATTATATTTAAATTCTTCCGATCATTATTAATGCAACAAATTTACAGATTTAAAAAATAAAGGAAATATACTTCAGTATGAGTGATCTCTAGCTGACACCACTGTATATTTATCAAAATTTTTGAAGTATTTTAATCTGTTTTTAAAAGTTTTGTTCGTGTGTTTAGGTGGTTTAAGTAAATATGGACCCTTGTATTAGGTCGGTCGCCCCTAATACTCTATTCTATTTTCTGTGGATAGTAGCACCCAAAAGCTGACAATTCCAAGTGTTTTTTGCGAATTCCACTTCGTATTTTTAGAATTGCCTATACGTGATGTATATTGAAAAAGGTCTTCTTTAACAGCTATAAATAAGACCAACTTTGACCGATATAATAACTAATGAAGAATGTGGGGAACTTTTCTAGTATGTAAAATTGATAAATGACATGAGTTGGAAATCAATTATATCTTTTGTTACAGTGTATTGATCAACTCATCCAGATTCAAAAAGAACTTCAAGCCAGCGTGCTTGACGTGGATAAGACAAAGAAAGGATACTTCGATGAAGAACACAGCGCACACGAAGTCCGTGATAAGTCCAGAGATATTGAAGAAAAGTGAGTGACAATTGTGTTCTTACACCTTATATAAAAGGTTCCATGACTATTCATAAACTATATCTAATATTTTACATTTGTATCTTCTTTATGCAAACAGGCTAGAAAAAGGGTAATGTATCTTTTTAATCAATCGTGCTTTGTGAGGCGCTGCTTTGTAACCTATAATTTCGCTATGGAGTACTGAAACGCTGTTTAAATATTTTTGCTTTGAAAACCCTTTTATGACTGATTTCAATTTGAATCTATTTTTGCTGATGATCATTCCTAGTTTGAGCTTAATTTGTTTCTTTAATGATCTAATTCTTTGAATACCTAGTTCATTCCCAAAAGTACCAGAGGCGGCCACAGTTGTTAAATTTAAGTTCTTGTGATATATATAAAAGCTTTTTATAATTCTTTTTTCTTTATAATATAATATAAACAAGGTAAAATTATACACCTGCAAGTCTACTGCACGCACGTATGCACACACAGGCACGTTATTTCATGGAATGGAATGAGGCCACCCACATGGCCACTTCATTCTTCTATCGAATATTAGTCCCTGCTATATAATTAGTTTTAAGTAATGCCATAAATATTATCCATATTTCATATGTATTTAGATTAATTTCATCATAATTGGACTTTTTTCAAATCTGGATATTCAGAGAACCGATACACTAGAAACAGTTTTAACCTTGATAAAAAAGAAAAATATTTCAAATAAATGTTCTAGAGATACAACCTAATCTTTTCTAACCACAGTGGGGAGATTGAGATCAATTCCGTGGTAATATATTTAAACTTGGCTCGGCCGAATTCTAACCGGCGCACACAGCGAGCGGAATTCCACTGAGGCAGCAATGAACAACATGTAGCTTGATACTTGTTTACTAGTGTTGCCTATTGTAGTCTTCCAACTATGTGGCACAAAATTCAAAGTAAAAAATAATTTATGAATACATACATACATATATATATATATATATATATATATATATATATATATATATATATATATATATATATATATATATATATTCCGATATTGATAAAATCGGAATCGATTAACATATTTTTAACTCTATCTCTATCATTATCAATAATTGATTAGATAGATCTATAGGAACTATAAAAGTTCAATCTGTCAACTGATATACTAACTCATTTTTTTCTTTGACTATCAAAAGTAAAATATTGTATTTATTCAAATGTTAGCAATATTTTTAAACGTGATAAACAATTATATTTTAACTTTAATTTTTTTTTAAATATATTCTATGAACAAAATATTTGTTCACATAATTGTTTTAAATTATCAATTGTTATTTATACCATGTTTTTATGCTAAAAAATAAGTGTTTTTTGCAAAATAATAATTTCATGCAACATGACTATCTTAAGTATTTTACGTAAAATAAATATTGTAAAAATATTAGTTGTATAAACGAATAGAAAGTTTAAAATTCATGTCTTGTAGTTTATATTGTAAACATTACGTTGTTCAGATATTGTATAATTTAGTACCTATTTCATAACAACATATTATACTAAAATATAAATATATAAAGTTACTAAGTTAATAATAAAAATATATTTTATATACCGAAGCCAAGAAAGGCTTCAGGTGACTGTCAGTAAAGACAATAAGATGTTATTTAGTGGAAAATCGGGTCAATAGTAACTGGAATACGCTAGTAAAAAAAATTAAACAAATAAAAAGTAATGTTAGTCACTCTAAATTCAACATTCCCGCGTGTTAAATCCTTAGAAACTTTCGGGGTGGCCGAATGGGGCAAGGTTTGAAAATTGTTTTGAGAAGTTCAAACCTTTGTTAACAATAGGGTCTATGTAGTTTTCCGGGCGATTTGGGAAATGGAACCAAAATTTCTTGCAACTGTTTGAAACGTCGTAACAGCTATGCTTATTTATAAAAGCCGATGTTTCGGCTATCTTAGTATTCACTAGAAGTACCTAGTTTTGGTTAGAACATACCGTTAGGTTTGAACTTAAAATACTTGTAAAACAGCTATGAATATTTAAAAAATGGTTTTCATTTATTCTCCTATTGCCTCACATCAGGGCATTATTAATGCGCCAATAAGGTATAAACTGCTGGATATGAAGGGAAAACGGCATTACTTCGTCACTAATGCAGTCAAACTACCAAATTTTAACTTTTGTTTTTCTTCTAATGTCCAACTGTAGCGTTAGCTCGCTAAGTGTGTGGTGCCGCTAGATTCGAGAATATCAAAGTGGAAACACTTTAATAAACTCTCTCACCACGGCCTCATAAGAATAGAATTAGTAAAGGATGATAACTCGGGTTACTGCAGTATACAATTCCGTAAAGGGTATAGGTTTTCAGACTAAGCTTTGTAACTTTGTCAATGACATCGACCACTTATGCATTTGCCACGACGTCCAAGAAACAGTTGGGCACATCTTCATAAACTGCACCTTTTTTGAGGTACAAAGAGCAAGATTGCTGAGATAAACTGGACTTTTAGTCCACCCAGAAAACGATATCAGGTGATCAAGAATTACTACATTTGCTTTAAAGATTTTGAGTACGCGTAAAAAACAGCAAGAGGAAAGGGTCATATTTGAAACTGATGAAATAGCTGTAAAACAGTTCTTGGATCCATCCAGGAGTGCCCTATCCCAACAAGGTCGATGGTCCATGAACGTTCCCCCTCCCCTCCTCAGGATATTTATTACTCTTCTCTTCTTAAAAACATTAGAAATTATAGTACCGTAAATCATATACAATTACACTTGCTAAGGTTTGTTCCATTTATTCCCTTTGTCTCCTTGTTTGAAACTTTGACGAAATTTGCTCTCCTCAAAAATTTAAAATTCCGTCAAAATGTGCCCCCCCCCCCTCAAAAATTGTGATGGCGCATCTTGCGCCATGAAATCCCCTTGCGGGCACTCCTGGATCCATTACCAGACTGGTCATTTTATAAACTAGGTTATATTAGTTAGCTAAATACATTTTTCATCTTCATGATCTTCATTGAGTATTTGTATAATTTTAGTTATAGTAAAATATTGGTGCTCGATAATTATGAACTAAGTAATTATTACTAAAAAAGCATTTTGACCAGCTACATAACTAATCTATTAACTCTTATGCAATTATATTCTTGAAATATTTTCTTTTCATTTAGAGAGAAGTAAAAAATGAAGAAACATAAGCAACATAACTAACAAAATGTTTGGAAGGAATATTGTAATTTATGAGACTAAAGGAAAAAGTGAACTCTGGAATTAATAGAAGAATATGTATTCATCCTTCCCAATCAGTTGATTAATACTGTTCTTGTTATATCCCAAAATATTACTATTTATCCATTGGAGCAATTGGATCCTACTTATCATGAATAAAAGTTTTTTTTAAAGATAAATGGGTTCTGTGTGCTATTGTATGATCTGACCTTTATTTTGCGTTTACTCTATAGAAATAGATCAAGTATTCTGATGGGGCTTCATTTATTGATAAATCCAATTGTTTAAATATTATAGTTTTTGATCATCTTCAATTTTTCATATCAAAAACTAACCCTTCCTATCTGGTAATAATGATGCACAGGATACCTTTGTTTCCTAAATAATTTTAATACAAATTTCGGTTTCATCATTTTAACCTTACATTGTCTTTCAGGTTGAAGAAGAAAAAGGGTTCTTTCTTCCAGTCGATCACATCCCTACAGAAAAATAGTGCCAAGGTGAGTGATTCCGAAACAGTAAAATCATACTGATTACCATTTTACAGTTCAAATTCAATAATGATACTACATGAATATACATTTAAAAAATTAAGAATCCCTCAAATATTGAAAGGTAGAACTCATATTATCCAATTAATTATGATATTGAAAAAAAAATGGTACAAAGAATAATTGAGGGAGAAACAAAACAAGTCAAGAATTGGGTTAAAACAATAAAATACAGGAGGTCTTTACACTTAAATAGGCTTTTTAATTATTGTTTGTGAATAAAAATCATATGTCGTATAGTTGTAAAAGAAATAATTCTAATCATTCAATTTAAAAACTTTAATATATAACAATAATTTTTCATGCACTATTTGTTAATTGTTTTTTCTTTATTGTAGCATTATTATATATTTTGCCTATGATAAAATCACATATATTATATGATAAAGCTTGATATATGGTAAATATATGATAAAAAGTTCTAATATATGGCTGTGAGACCTGGACACTAACCACCACCTTCGAAAAAAGTGTAGAATGATTTGAGAGGAAAATCCTCCGCACAATAAACAGAGCGATCTGGGATCAGAGTACTAACACATGGAGAAGATACACAAATAAGGAACTGCTTACAGAAACTGGTCAATCAATATCCCATTGCCCATGATATGAAGGCACAGAGGTTAAGATTACGAGTAGCTCATAGCAGTCCATCCACATAACAATAAATGCCTCATTAGAAGGCAAAAGACCAATGTGGAAGGCCAAAAAGCAAATAGATAGATAGAATAAACAAAGAAAGAAATGGCCCATGGCAGGCAGAGATGGAACAGGCTTGTTAATGCTAAAAATCTACTTATTAAAAAAACAAAAGAACATATATATATATATATATATATATATATATATATATATATATATATATATATATATATATATATATATATATATATATATATATATATATATATATAATATATATATATATATATATATATATATATATATATATATATATATATATATAACAGAGCGATATATATATATATATATATACTTTATTAAAATAGTTTCTTCTTAAAAAATTAAATATTTAGAAGTATGAAACCAATGTTCGATTGATCATTAATTATCATTTCATATGAAAGCTACCAATTAAATTAAAAAAAGGTCATTCGAATAGAGCAGAGGCTTAATTTATTTTCTATAAGATTAAAGACAGAAATCATAGTTTGATGTAACTTTACATGTTTCTGTTAAAAGTGAATTATTTTAGGTAACTTCCAAAAGGGAACAGCTGGAAGAAAAATCTTCAGGAGCCAGAAATGATTATCTCTTAAGTTTGGCTGCAGCAAATGCTCATCAAACACGATATTTTGTGGTTGATTTCCAGAACACAATTCAAGTAAGTAAACTTTATTATATATAAAATATTTTTTTTTTAATGTTATAAGCTTATATAAGATATATGAAAAACTAATGTACAAATTATAAGCTTATTTCTATTCTTGGTTTAAAAACATTTTTGGTTATTTCTTTTTTAATTCAATTAGTTATGGTCCCATACTCATCAAAACTTTTTATAAATTCTTCCTTTTATTAGGGAAATTAGCAATTATTTTATAATTAGTTGAGCGAAAGTAGGTTTTATATATTTCCATTCAATAAAGATTTAACAAGTTACCTATCATTCACTTACAGAATCAATAAAAACTTAAATTTTTTTTTTTTTTAAACTACTGTGCGTGCTTAAGACCACTTGATACAGGTGGAAATATAAAGAAGGTGAGATAGATAATATGACAATATTTAATTGGAAATTCATTATCATCTAACTAGATTTTTTAAATCAAAAACCTGTCACTATTTTTTTTCCCTTTTTACCTCTTTAACACAGCGCCCTTTCAAAATATAATTTTGAATAATAGCATATTAAAAAGAGGTTGAAATACTAAACATTTCCCTCATTTACAGTATGCAGGTATCCAAAAGTTAGTCGATTTCATCCAAATGAGCGTTACATAACCGAGCATGACGGCTCAGTCTCATTCACTAACCACAAAAAAAGTGCTAAGTGCGGCTAAAGAATTTTTCAATTCAAAAATATTATATCAACAAATATTTGCACTAAATAGTTTAATAATATAAAATAGCAAAGTAACAAGAGTTCATGATCTTGTAAAATAAAAATGTAATGGTCTCCCATTAGATTACTAATAAAATAATGTCTTGTTATTCCAAATTGATGTATTCTTACTTTTGGAATGATAAGGTGCAGAAATATTGAAGAATAAAAAATGTTTGACCATTTACAAAAGGTTTAACTTTTTTTGGATGTGGCGATGGCAATTTACATATTAAAAATACTGGCTTTTTGGGTCATGGAGTAAGATTTTACTTGGCACCCCTCTCATATATCTCCAAACGTGCTAAGAGCCTGTTTTGCCATATTTAAATAGAGAGATAGAAATATAAATCTTTAAGCAGGGATAATTTTGGAAACCCAAGCCAGCTTGTTGTAATTTAAATAATTAAAGAGTGATGTTATTCAGACTTACATTTTTGTTTTTTTGATATGTGGCCCCTCTGAACGCAGCACTCTAAGTAGGATGCATGGATAACATTGGCATCATTTAGAATGAAGAATACCCCATATTTTTTATAAGAAATATTACCAAAATTTATTTTAAAATGTTTGTTTTGTTATATTTTAATGGATAGTTAAATTATTTTAGGCCATGGAAGCCAATGTATATGAGAAAGTTGCAGAATATCTTATGTTAATATCAAGAACTGAACTTCTCACCTGTACAGCTACTCAAACTTCTTTCAATAGAATTAAAGAACAATCTGGTCAGGTCAGTATATCATACTCATTTATTGATCAGATAAAGTTAAATGTGATCAATTTTTAATAATATATTAAAATAATGAAACTTATAATCAGCTTCAATTTCTTTTACTATATAATGAACACTTATCATTTCTAAATGTTATTCTCTAAGTATTTGAAGTAGTTTTTTAATTAATTAAATTTATATTTCCTCTGGGTTTTTTCCTAGACTATATTCTTATGTTGTTTATTATACTAAATCTATATTGTATTAGCAAGCTCTATCTATACTAAGTTTAGAGATAATAATGCACAATGTACTGGCCAACTTGAAATATACCTACTAATTATTTTAAAAGGATTTTTCCTGAGAATAATAAAATTATTTTTTGTTTAATTTTGTTATAAATTTATTTTTTTAGCTTAGCCGGGAATACAACCTACAATGTGTTTACCTATACTATCCTGTACTAAAACAACACATTCAATACGAATTTGAGCCCTGTGATAATGATACAGTCAACAAAGTAACTGCAGAACATAGTTCATCATCGGCAGCATTAGGAAAAGAAGCAAAGAGATGGGCAACTCGAATTGGCCGAGAATCGGCTAATATAAAAGAAGCTCTAGCTAAACTCCAAAATCTTCATGCATTGAGAGAATCTGGACAAAGGGTATGTTAGCTGGCTTGAACATTATCTCTTTTAGTTTGTAGACAGCATGATGAATCATAGGTATGATATGGTAATGACTAACTACTAGTCATTATCTCGACTCTATAATTGGAAGCCATTGTAGCAGAGAATGTTGATATATCTTAGCATCTTATTGTTAGGAACTGTGATGCTTTGAACCCAATCTGATTAGGTTGACTTTTATTTTTTCTGGACCCTCAGAATAAATTTCAACCTTATCAGTCTGATTATAACAAGTCAGAACTTGTAGAGTAACCCTTTCTCCATGCTCTAGTTGCAAAACATAAGGATATTAAAACCAAACAAACAACTACTCTACCATGGTATTAAACATAATTAGTAATAAATACAAATTTTATTGACAGACTGATCCAAATGACCCTAATGGCCCTGATATTGAAACTAAAATGGATGAACTTCGTCAGACTATTAGAAGAGCAGAGGTATTTCATTCTTCAATTTTAAATTATATTTCTAAACCTACAATAAGAATTAAAAAATTGAAATTTTTTTATCTAATGAAATTTAAATTTTAGACTTCAAAAGGTAAAGCAGAGGCTAGGATAGAATGTCTGAGAGCTGGTGGAGGTAATTATCATTGAATATTTAAATTTTTTAATATTAAATAGCTTAAGGCAGTTTTAAATAATTATCAGTGGTCATTATTTATAGCTAAATTGGATTAAAATATGCATAATGTTGACTATATTAATTACCTATTAAGAGATTTCAATTTTTATAATATTTAATGATTTTTAGATTCTTGTCTTAATTCCATTTACGAAAAAGACATCTGCTTTAATAATAATAAATGTTATTATTAAAGTTATTAAAGTTATTATGTTATTATCTGCTCTATAATAAATGTTAAATTTATAATGTGCGTGAGTGCGTGTGTGTGTTTTTTATGTAAAACTAGCTTTACCCAGCCACTCGCTGCTGTGGCTTAGTCTGGCAAAAAGGAAACGAAAGAAAACAGAACGCACATATGAGTGGATCAATACCAAAAGACATCTGTCATTTTTAAAAAGTTGGGAAAAATTTTTTTTTCTGTAACATGGCTTCAATTTAAACTAATTATATATTTTTTTTCATGATTTAACTTCAACATTCTCAATCATCAGAGTGAATACGCCGTCATTCTTAATCACCAGAAACAGTCTGAGTTGAACATAGAAAATACAATTGACCTTATCTCCGCTTTCTGAAAATGACAGAGATCCGTCTTTGATATGAAGCCACTCATATATTTTCATGTATAATTTTATTATTAATTTTTTTTATATTTAATGTATTGCTTATTGTTCAACTTTGTGTTGGTTATTTTATGGCAAATAAAAATGTAAATGTTTGTTTGTTCAAACTTTTAAATCTCGGAAAGTTCTTTACCAAATGTCTGCTTAACGTTGCATTTAAATACGAGCATGGTTTAATATACCTACTATTATAAGATATAAGGTGAAACTATACATAATGTACCATCAGTTGGACGTGAAAGCAACACATGCAGTTCAAAGTATTTTAAGATACTGTTTCAATGTTAAAGATTTCCAAATATCAAACGTGGCAATGCATTGAAATTGCGCTATACTATTTATCATAGCGTTCATTTCTTGTGCATTAGAGCTGCCTTTCACCTTCCTTAAAAGATTTCGCAAACCCCCCTTCAGATATTTGATTGCTTCTTCTTAATATCAACATGATTAAATATAGTGTTTTAAAAATTGTAGTGGAAAAATAAACCTTATTCATGAAAGAAATCCTACGGTAAACGGCACATCCTTATTCCTACGTAATGTTAAAGAAAATAATTTATTAAAATATAAAATGAACTGAAATCAATGAAAAACTTATTTTTAAAAGGGACACAAACGGTGGTAATTATTACTCAAGAATTAAATATTTTTAAATAATATCAATTCAAATATTTAAGATATTTTATACTTTCAGAATACATTGGGGAAAAATAAAAAATTAATATAAAGGGTGTATATTAGTATTGACCTACATAAGGAGAATCACATTACTTTTTCAAATGATAATTTCAATTACTGCAGTAATTATAAAATTTTTGATTAATCAATAACAAAAAAAAAAAAAAGAAAAGGGAAATGACCTTGTCTGAAGATAAAGTAGTAAATGTTTAAAACTCTATAACTCTGCAACGAATCGTCCGATTTTGATGACATTTATTTTAATTTTGTAGGCAATTCAGGAATCTTTCAAATAAATATGAGTATTATCAATCAAAAATTGTTTACTTTTTTTAGTTATTGGCAAATAAAATTTTTAATTCATCGTAACATTTTTTCAGCTTGTTTTCGGGAAACTATGTTACGCACATAAATTAAAAGGGTTTCAAGGGGAAGACTTGACAAAGTTTCGGTAAAATCGTTAAAGCCGTTTTGGCGCTACAGTATATAGCAACATGTTTTTTGGCCACCATTTCAAAACGAAAGGTCGAACAGTAATGAAATGTTAAAAAACACTCCTGAATTTGATTGCAACGCTGTGTCAAAATTTCAAAGTAATCGGTGAAGAACTTTTGGAGAATAGCGGTTTTGAACAAAAGAACATTTACATTTTTTTTTTTTTTTACACATATAAAATTATCGTAAGACAGAAGTACTATGCCAGAAAGCTTTGCTGGAGTGTACGCAACAACTTCCCAAAGTTTCATGACGATCGGATGAATGGTTTAGTAATGCATAAAGGACAAACAGACAGAAATACAGACATACATTCATTTATATATATATATATATATATATATATATATATATATATATATAGAGAGAGAGAGAGAGAGAGAGAGAGAGAGAGAGAGAGAGAGAGAGAGAGAGAGAGAGAGAGAGAGCCTAATTTAAAAGAGCACTTAAGAAGGAAAGCACATAGAACAAGGAAAACTAGAGCTCGTTTGTAAGGTCACAGCCAAGTCAATCTTCTGAAAATCCTTTTTTAAATGGGTATGATCAAAAGATATTGTACAAGCTAATAGTCCTTTTAAATAAACTATGTTATGTTTTATCATCAGAATTAAATATTTATAAATTCTGATAACTTTTGTAATTAATTAAAATACTGAAGCTGTATTTACATTAAAAATGTTTTATTAACAGTTAATGTGGAGGAGTATTTGCAAGATCTTGAAAATTTAAGTGTGCAGGATCTACCTCGCTCTAATAGTTCCATGTCTGTAAGAACAGATGCTTCCGGATTAGGGGTAGGTATTGCTTATTATTGTGTTAAAAAGTTTAGAAACTGGTATATGTATTTTTTAAAAATAAAAACAGCAATAATTTATCGTTTATTTGTCTTGTTATTCACAAATAAGCATGTTCAATATTTTGAATACTTATCTAAAACTTATGCAAATGGTTTGTTTGAAGGAACAAATTGGATCAGACTCGATATATGATAGTGATTATAATGATGGTGCTTCTGAGTCTGCTGGTCCAACAAGCTTAGAAGAAAAGGAAAGGCCTGATTCCACAGAAGTAGATGGAGAATGGGGTAAGAAAATTATTGTGGCTAATTGATTTATGAATTTAAAATTATTAAATGCTTAAACTAATTAGTAATATACTTATACTGAGGTGCAAGTGTTATATTTTTGGGATATGTTATCAACTTTTTAAAAATTTAAAATTGAAATGTGTGTGTGTGTGTGTGTGTGTGTGTGTGTGTGTGTGTGTGTTTGTGCATATGTGTGTGTGTGTGTTTGTGTGTGTGTGTGTGTGTTTGTGTGTATATGTGTGTGTGTGTGTGTATTGTTCTGATTTATTAAATTTGAATTAAATAAATAAAATATTGAATAATAACTTTTATATGTTATGACAAATTTGATGAACGCTAAAGGCTTAACTGGTTCATGGACTGTGAATTACTAAGGATCAAATAAATGACATTGATACATCAAATATTTTATTTTATATAGGAACATGTTTATTACTGAAATAAAATTAATACTATCTACTACTGCTTCTTGGTACTGTCTCTCTCGTAGTTCCAATCATATAATACACCATATTCTTTATATGCTGTTGTTGCTTCAATTGAAGATGGTCTTCATAAGGTCTCTGCTCCCTTTATGAATGTGCACATGTTATTTCTATAGCACTCCAGAACCGACAGACGATGCATCCATCCTGGCCAATGGCCAGAACAAGACCGGGCTGAGGCAAGGGAGTGGGGGTTGCATCCTTCCTTCCACTATTTCTAACTCAAATGTATTTTTTTTTAGTGTGAAAAAATTACAGTATATATATTTTTCAATTGGCTCTATAGGCAATGTAGATCTTTGGCTGCAAGGTGTGGTTTCTTTACAGAGTTATATTGCTTGTGGGAGTACAGATAGCCTGTAGGGAGTCACCCAACCTCATGTTGCTATGGACCATGGTTTTCATGGTGCAATAGCAGGCCACCTATAGCTCCTTAGTCAATACCTTTGGTTCCAATCTGCCTGTGTCCTTCCCACAAAATCAATCGTGTTCAAGGACAGTGACAAATGGTCTAGATCCATAGATTATGGCTGCTCAGAGTTAGCACACATGAGGACCTATATTTCTTTCCCTAAAACACACTGTCCATCGACCAGTCCTCAGGGGAGACTATTGATGTTCTGGAAAACTACATACCGATTCCCGACTTAAGTACATGGGGAAGGGTCATCTGTCCTAAGCCTGGTCAGTCTGAGTTGCCTCTAATAGACTCATGGGTCTCATATACCTGGAGGGACTCCCAACCAAGTACATATCACACTCAACATTACTTAACTTTAGTAACTTGGATTACATATTGCAAGTACCTAAGCCCGCTCAGCTATCCCAGTCCCTTGGCTTTCTCTTAAGAGTTTAAACAGAATAACCATCTGTCAATTTCAGTTGAAAAAAAAATTACTGTAGTATCTTAAGTAGAGGTCAACATTTATTGATCTATAAATTCAAAAAATCTACTTAAACTGTTGTTAAGCAATACCATTCAAATAAAAGAGATGAATTTATTAAAATGCCACTTTAAGATATTATTGATTTATATTAAAGAACAGGAATTATGATTAAGAACTTGAGAGTTATTTTTAAAATATGTACTACAATGTATAAAAAATTTTAAAATATCAAGAGAGTGAAAAATAAAAATAGGCAACTCACTAAACTAATTTTAAGAATTTCAATCTTCTAAAAACAAAAAAGACAAAAAACAGGTTTTACTTTCACTTACGTATATATGTAATATATAGTAAGTGTAAGTATTGCGATCGAGAAAATTTTTGAATCTGAGTTTTTGACGGATTTATACGTTTTGAGGTACCCTGAGTCAAAATGACCAAGTCCCGACAAATGGTCTGTGTGTCTGTGTGTTTGTATGTTAGCAGTCTAGCTCAAAAACGAAAAGTCCTATGAAACTGATATCACGTATTTAAGATAAGTATATGCCTTAGTTGAGACGGCAACTTTTTCCTTAAAATCGGCTACCCGGAAGTGCCACTTTATATCAACGCTGAAACACATTTTCACAATTTTCTCAAAAACGGCTCTAGCGATTTTGATTAAACTCGGTGTATCATTGTATAATTAAGTGGTCTTTAATATAAATTAGGTCTTATCCCTATTGATGTCACTTTACAGGGCTTAAATGCCCAATGTTCACATACGTCTTCCTCTAAACTACCTTTAATATGGTTTATTTTAAAAAGATAATTATTTCGCATTATTCAGAGTTACAAAAAAATGCTAAATATAACTTTTGAAATAATTTGATAAGTTAATAAAGGAGAAAAAAATAAAAATGCAGAAAAACGTAGCTATAGACTGTAGCGCCTAAACGAATGTACCAATTTTATTGAAACTTCGCTAAAATCATTTTCTCGACACCCTTCAAATTTATCTATATAACATTCATCAGCGAAAAGAAGCTGAAAAAAAGTTATGAGGGATGGTAAAATTAAATTCCGAATAACTCAAAAAGTATACACTTTTTTGGGAATGTTGTATGGTTTTCTAAAAGTTTATGGAATAGCCTAAAAAACAAAAAAAAAATCGCTAAAATCGGATAATTAGGAGATAAGATATGGTCTCTAGTTTTTTTTAATACGTTCTGCTACAATGGTTATATCCTTTATTTCGGTTTTTGAATTCTGAATATGTTAATAAGGTATTGCTAATTTTTTTTTTTAAATGCAATTTTAGAACATTTTATAATAGCCTAACATGGCCAGAAAATAATTTTTATTCAAAGTTCAAAGAGTAAGTGAAAGTTGTGTGTTGCGCGCACCAGATTTTTTTTGTTTAGTTTTTCAATAACCACTCGAAGCTACATTACTTTTTTCTACTTTCCCGAAATCTGTTCTAACACTTGTTAGTTTACATTGTGAAATAATTATTTCTTAACTTGAAATAGTGAATATCAATTATTATTGTGACTAGTTCTTTATAGTTGATCACATATCAGCTTGAAGATACTTTCATATCTTAGCTCGCTTCCAGATCCTTTCCCTGATCCCCATCGAACAATTCTCTATTGTCTATCAAATTCTTCTTTCCTTATGCTTAGGTGGTCCCTCAGACTATTTACAAAAATTAATTAATTATGTAATTTAAAATCTCTGTGACTGTTAGCAGCTCGGTGGCTTTTCAAATGATAAATCAGTATTTCAGTTTTGTTCATAGAGAATATTTATAAATTTGTTAACTGAAACTTTTGTAATATTGATTAATTAATTTTTATCTATTTATCTAATTTCATTTTATCTATTTATTCTTTTAACATTTAGCAATGTTAGAACAAGAAAGACAGCGAATAGAACAATTGACAGCAGGATGGGACGATCCTACTCAGGTAGATTGGGGACCTGAAGGAGGAGAAACCACAGCAGAAGTTTCTCCGCAACCTCCAATAGATGGTGGAATAACTTACAAATGTACAGCATTATACACTTATACTGTGCGTAGTAAACGTAACATTAACAAAACTTTTTTCATTTTATATCATAATATTATATATTATATCATAGTATTTGTTTGTTATTCAAAATGGCTCCAAATCCATTTGTTTTCTATTTCAGACAACTCAAAATACTTAAAAAATTTATTCTAATGATATCTAAGAAAGAAATAAATGGCAATTCTTTCTCACTAACTACAAAAAGTTATAAAATGAATAATCTTAAAAACCCAAAAGCTAGAATGTATTAAAAATATCTCTGATAACTGTAGTATATTTGTAATTTAGAGCCATTTTCTTGGTTTACAAATTCAGAAAAATGCTAAACTGACAAAAAAAAGTAAATAGAACTTTCTTGATTTTTCTCAATATTTTGTTTTTTTTCCTTTGTTGAATAATATTAATTGTGTTTATACTTTGATAACTTATTTACACCTGAATAGGTTTATATCTTCATTATTATTATTTTTTTCTTATGCCTCTGGACTTTTCAACTTCCATCATGAGTCTTCTAGCAGCTTTAGGGCTGAATAGGTGAGAGCTGTGATCGTTTGGTTCTCTTGATGATATCCAGGCAGCACGTGGTTCATAATAACCGGACGTGATCACAAATCACTTGCTCTTCATAAGGCACTTTCCTGAAGGATGGTTGGCAACCTTTTGCTAAAATCTCCATCTTGTTTTATTTTATTTTTTATTTTTTTTTTTTATGAGATAGGGGATTATTAGCCGTATAACCACTCCCCAAACTGGAAGACCAGGAGCTATGACATAAGACACAAGAGTCCCCCAGTGGGCGAGAGTGACACTCACCTCCTTGTGAATTGGGTGGGGACATTGCGTTTCCCCTGTGGAAATCGAACCTACACCATTGTAGTCTAAGCAGTTGAGTAAGGCCCACAATTATTTATTTTAATTTATTATTAATTATTTTTATTTTTATTAGGTGTATATCCTTATATATTCCTATAACCTATATAGGAAGTGCATTAAATGAAATTAGAGATGCACCAATATCAGCCAAACAAGAGGTTATATTTTAGGATAGATTGTTGTAAATAATTAAAAACATACCGACCAACTTAATCAGTTAATTACATAGCAGGGGTGGTTTTGAATTTTTGAGTGGAACACATTTCGACGGATATATGAATTTTCAAAATCAAAAGTTTCAAATCAAAAGATAAGTGGAAGAATGGGACAGACTGCAGAATGTGTAATTGTAAATAATCTACAAAGTTTTAAATTATACTTTTGTTTACGCCTTTTTTGAGAAGAGGGCAATAAAATATCTTGGGAGGGGAGCGTGAAGGCTTATGCACCATCAACCTTGAGGGGGATGGGTACTCCTGTTACATAGCATGCAGATACACTGCAGTAAGTTTTTATAACCTCTTTTAAAAGTGAAGGTAATAGTTTTGCTCATAAATGAAAATAACAAGTTGAATCAAACATCAATATTATTACCTGTCATCTTATGATTACAAAGTGGATGATGGGTCATGGTCTACGGGAAGAATGGACCTTAGATAGGATATTATGGAAAGAAGCCATCTAAGGTTTTGGTTAAGGAAACCCACTATTAGTGGAAACTCCTAATAAAAAAAAATCTTATGATTATATCAATTTCATTTTATTTTTTCAGGCCCAGAACCCAGATGAGTTATCGATAGTTGAGAATGAGCAGTTAGAAGTAGTAGGAGAGGGCGATGGAGATGGATGGTTAAGAGCCAGAAATTATAAGGGTGAAGAAGGTTATGTACCACACAACTACTTGGATGTAGAAAGGGAAGTAGAATGGAATGCAGAAAGGGAAGGACCACAACTCACATCCCAAATCTCATTTTCTTCTGTCGACTACACTGTTGATGAGGAACCGTCTGAACAGTCAGTTGGTCAAGACACCGTGAAAGAGGCTTTTCGACCACCAGACCTACGTAAGCAAGTTAATCAACTGAATATTGATACATGAAGGTTTATGAAATCATATTAATAAATAATGCTCCCTCAGTTAGTATAAATCAAAATCACCTGTATTTTAAATAATGATAGATATATTAAAGAAATAGGAGTGAATAGAAAAATACTGCATGATTCTGGGCCAATAATCAAATATATTATAATAAAAATTTGATTTACCATTTATTATCTTTTTTCTTATTTACATAATCAATTAGTTCATCATATCATAAATTATTCTTAATCCATTCATTACTATATATTATATATAGGTTTTGTACTTTCTACAATTATATTTAAACAATATATTTGGCTGAGTGAGCTCTGCTTATTTGTGATATTTGACTCAGTAATGGAGAAAGAAAAGGAATATCACATAATATCTGTACAGTTATGTAAATACTTCTTTTATCCCTTATTTTAAGTGGGTTTTTTTTTTGTAATATACATTTTGGCCAGATGTAATGTTAATTTTATATACAATATTGTTATTCCCAAGGGACTTGGTCCCAGAATAAAGTTGATTCTTCTATTCTATCTGGTACTTGCTTGTGGTATAGCTATAGAAATGCTTCCCTTACTGATTGCAAGCAAATGAGAGCTTCATATGCTTCATAACAGAACTAAATTAAAACTTTATTAAAAGGAGTGAGTGATAGCCCTACCACTGCAAAGACAATTTAGATCTGTTTAAATACAAAAATAAAAAAATAAAACAAATGTTTTTAACATTTGTAACGCTTCAAAAAAATATAAGCTGAAAAAAATGACAAAGATTGCAATAGTGTTTGAGATGATCAATAAGCCCATTTCTTTATAATTGTCAGCATGTTTTTGAACATAAAGTGAAAGGTCAAAATTCCTCCTGAACAATATAGGGGTAATAGAGATTAAAATGGATTGAAAATGAACAGAATATTTGTTGAACTCGGTTGATATCAATAAAACTTAAAATTAACTTTTCTTTTTATCAGATTCCCATTTCTGTCATTTTCAATTTAATTGAATATGAGGTCACACACCTTAATGATTTCAAATTTTATCTAAATCCATGATTGCAGTGGTGGATTAATGCACCAGCACACCAAACACCATTCTATTTTTGAGAAGCAGCATAATTTGAGTGAAATTATATCTTTTAAGTTCAAACTAATTCACATATTGAAAAAAAAGGATAATTAAGCACATATACATCTATCTATGGCAATCTCGGTGAAATTGGTATGATCCATGTTTTTAAGGCAAATGTGATTACTGGTATAATTATAGTTTTTTATTTCATTTTCGTTTGAATGGATAAATATCAGCTTCTTAAATGTCTGTCTCCTAATCCTGAAATAGCACCTATTGGCATTGATAATTCTACCACCAGAGACACATCATTGAAGTTGCTTTTAATGATTTCCGGATAATAGAAATTATTCACTTTCTGAGAGTTGTATGGGCCTATTTTCTATAACCTCTTGGATACTTGGTAGATTCTCCTGTCCTCATATAGTTTGGTCTTTCTTTATCATTTCGCAGTTCCATTTCTTATAGCTAATAGTTGTATAAGCCTGTTGTAAATTGTGTGAATGTTTTGAATTTTTGATTTTCAGACTATTGGTTTTAAGACCGTACTAAATAGTAGGCATTTCTATTTATTTATTTCCTTATATCTCTCAAATATATACAAGAGTGAGATTTCCATATATACAGTCAACACAATTGGTTTCATTCATAATCACTGAAACTAAGTGGATCAACTTAAAGGATATTTCCAACTCCCTCATAGAGCGTGAAAGAGATAGAAATAGACCTGATACTATCATAGGCACTTCTGAAGTCAATAAAGAGGTGATAAATGGGTATTATTTATTTCTGTTGCCTTCTTGAAAATGGTCCTGAGGTTACATCCGTTAACCGTTGACCTCTTACTTGATAAACCTGTCTGATTGTCTACTAAAGATGTTTTTGTTGTATATAGCACAAGCTTATGGTAAAGAATGTTAGATTATATCTTAGATGCACACTAAAGTAAGGTAATAAATACCTTGAAACTTAGCAAACTAGTATATCTCTCGTTTTATGAATATATAATTCAGCATTTTATTTTCTACCAACCTAGATGGAGAGCATAATATTATATAATGGAGCGGAAATGTTTGATTGTAAATACTTATAGTTAAAGAAGCTGGTTGTGGATTACAGTCAGTGAAGTACATATAAAAAATTATTTATTTTACTAGTGTCAACCTTAGTTTTATGCCTTGATAAGGGCAGCAAAGACAAGTATTTATCTTCTAAAAATAAATACAATGAGTGAATAAAAAATATATTGTGTAAGATATATAAAAATAATTAGATTAGTATATGTAAGTAGTTTAACCTAACATTTATAAACAGTAAATGGAAAATATATAATATGTAAACTTAGGAAGGAATGAAGTTACTGAAATAAACAAAGTTATAAAAAATTAAATAACAAAGAAATGTAATATTAAGTAATATAAATAAATCGGAAGAATAAGTTGTCAAATAAAATAAATAAAATGTGGTAGTTACTATAGTCACAATCATAGAAATTTCATCACCCAGTAAACAATTTATTAAATTTCATTTTATTTACCAGATTTTATCTGCAAGATCACCAGATATTTCTTATCCAGTTTTGAATTGATATTCTAAAAACAATTGCACCATTTTTTTTTTCAAAATTATGACTACTGTTGATTGGTGGTACCCTATTATCATTATTATTTTCTGTGACAATGCCTTCACTTCATGTAATGTCACAATTTCAATATTTTATGACGAGGACAGTTTTTTAAAATTGGTCTTAATTACAGCTTTTATCCTACCATTAGTTGAGAACTGAGAAACATTGTTAAAGTTTTCTTGTGACCTAAATAAGTAAAGAAAAACAAAAACATTCAATGGAATCAATGTTATCCACATAAGAATCAAAGTAAGAAATAGGTGGTGCAATTTCTATGACCATTATTGTTATGTTGATGTTGTAATATTTTTAGAGGAAATGAAATAAACATAAAATAATAATGAAGATCATACTATTATATGATTTAGTAACTAGAAAATGGTCTAAAATGGTTTTGTGATTTTATTTGTTTTGATATGCGTATGTAGTTTTTGTTGAAATAGAAAACAAATATTTTTCAATGTTATGCAAGTGATGTTGTAATTTCTTTAATTGATCTCTCTGGTAATTCTTCATAATCAAATTTAATTGATTTTTTTTTTTAACTTGGTATGAAGAAAAGGTACCATACATGTGGATTTTTTTTAAAAATTAATGTAGACATGTTCAAGCATCAGATTTTTATTGTTAACAAATATACATTTTAATCCACAATTACTGATCAGAATTAAATGAATCCTTATGAGGTAATATATAAAAAAATTATAGAAAAGTAATTTAAACTAATAGATAAAAGTGAAGAGTTTCTTTATTTGAATAAATCAATTTCAGGTTCCCCAATCTGATTAGAATTGTTTTTTCTATTGATAGACTGTTTATTCAGGATATTTTTGGTTTTATATCATCACACACAATATTATATAGGTATATGTATATATCAATTTGGAAAACTTTTGAAAACCACAAAAAGTCACCATAAATAAAGCAGAAACTTTTAATCATATCAGAAATAACTAAAGAGGAAAAATATCTTTTTCAGACAGGGTTATTTGCCTTATCTATATCAGATTCGGGTGAAAATAAGTACATATATACTTATGCCAAAGGAAGAAATAAATAAATCTTTTATTTTAAAGTACTTCAAGTCTTCTTTAAATAGTTTAAAACATAACATGTTCATAAAAATTCTTTGTTATTGTAAACCAACCAAACTGAGAATACTTTAATTTATTTTTTGTTTTTTTAGTGATTGGTCATATTCCGGTAATAAAGTCTATTTGATTGTAACCTCATTATTTGTTTAAACTGGTGTATAGTCTGAATTAAACCGGGTTAAATCACTGGGCAAGGGTGGTAAAAGATAAAATTGATCAAATTTTGAAATTTTAATGTAAGCACTGGTTTTCTCATTGTTACAAGAATCACTGCCTTTAATACAATTTATCAATAAGATTTAAATAGGATTTTTGGAAACATAGTGTGTGTATTTATTTTTATTCTGCACTTCAAAATCATATTACTGATGTGCTATTAAAAGTAAATTGGTTGCTTACCCAACACTTAAAGTTATTCTTGAAAATGAGATCATTTATACCCATCCAATTATTTGATGAAACCCCAAATGGAATTATCAAGAGCACTAACGGATCCAGAACTTAATTTTGGGGAAGGCTTCAGCCCGAAAGACTTTTTTTTTATGTATATATTACGATAATTACTTTGGAAGAAATAAAGAAACGAATTACCTATATGAAATGGTGTTTAAGTGATTCTTTAAGTCCTATTAAATGTAATAAGATGAACAATAATACTTTCAGAGATAATTTTTTTCATAAAACATGGTTATATTTTACCATTTGGGGGGAGGTAGGCTTCAGCCCGAAAGTCCCCCTCTCCCTCCCCATAGATCCGCCTGTGATCAAGAGCAACTTGAATGTGACTCATTATATTTGACATTCATGTCCTGTTTTTCATAAATAAAATGTATTCAACCTTTTTCTACTTTATTCCTTTTTTTAATAGATTTTGTGGTGCTATGGCACAGTTTCGGCTTCATTTAGCAATGTTACTACCATACAGTTTAAGCATCAGTCATGAATATAAAAAAGTACTAAGTGTGTGAGATTAATGAGTTGTAACATATTCATTCAATAGCAGCTGAATTAGATCAATACAACCCAAATATAAAAAATATAAACAGTGGTCTTCAAAGTTGTCTCAATTTTTCATTTCTAAGTTGTTGAGTTGGCAAATAAGTCCTTTCGGTTTTTCTGTTTATTTGTATGTCACTATGATATAGTTCTTATCTGATGAATTAATCCCTAAGGTGGATTGTTTATACTATTTGTAATATGTCAACAACTATATATGTTAATTCTTGTTTAAATTAGCTTAGTATTGTGTTTGCTATTGCACTGTGAATATGAAACAAAAATATCATTCATTATCGGCATATTTTGTTGTATTATTTTGTAATAGGTAAGCGTGCTGCAGTAGCTTATAGAAAAATTTGCAGTGTTTATGGAGATGATGCCCTAAACGAACACACCTGTCAAATGTAGTTTGCCAAATTTCATTCAGGAAATTTTGACATGAATGATGCACAACAGTCAGGTCGCCCACATGAAATTAAAACAAGCAATGTTAAGGCCATTGTTGATCAAAATCTAACCCAATCAGTGCGATAGATTGCTATGGCCTTGAATGTGTTGCATACAAGCGTAGAAAACCATTCGCACAAGCTCAGTTATGTTTTCAGTCTTAATGTTTGTGTCTCTCACTCTCTGACCGAAGTCAACTTGGCAACACATATTTATGTTTGTGATTCACTATGGTAAAGGCAAAAAAACGACCCATTTTTGAACAGGTTGGTAACAGGAGATGAAAAATGGATATTTTATGATAATGTAGTCTGTAGAAAATCTTGTGGACCTATTAGTGGAGCTCCTAGAAAAAGATCAAAATCCTTGCATCCAAAGAAGGCAATGGTTTCCAGATGGTGGGATTTCAAGGGTGTTATTTTCTATGAGCTATTGCCATCAGGACAAACAATTGATTCAACTCTATATTGCTCACAATTAACAAAATTGGATCAATCAATTAAAAATAAATGCTCAGAACTGGCAAATCGGAAAGGTGTTGTGTTCTACCAAGATAATGTTAGGCCCCACAGCTCACTGGTCACTCGCAATAAATTATTGAGCCTTGAATGGGACCTTTTGCCCCACCCTCCCTATTCACTAGACTACCAGACTCCAAGTGACTACCACTTATTCCAGTTTCTGCTGAACTCTATATGGAAAGAAATTCCAAAAGGAAGAGAAAATCAAAAACCAATTAGATCAGTTTTTAAACAATAAACTCCATACATTCTATGAACATGGCATTATGTTGTTAATGGAAAGATGGGAAAAAAGTCATATTAAATAATGGTCAATATATTGTAGATTAAAATAAATTTTATGTCCATAATACATTGAGTTTTATTTCACCCTGAAAAACCGAAAGGACTTATGATTAGGAGTGCTCCGAACGTAATAGTGCTGGGGCCCCAACTTTTTAATGCTGTCAATACCACCAAGGATTCTCAGTTCATCAAAATAACTGATGTATCATCTTCATTATTTATATCATTAAGACAAAAAATTTTATATATACCACAACTGAAATATATAAACATTAATTTGTTATATTATACATTTTCTATACTTGCATTATTTTTGTTATTAGAACTTTCTACTGGAGAGACGTATTGCATAGCATTGTATGACTATGAAGCAACCTGTCCTGAAGAACTAAGTTTTTATGAAGGAGATGTAATCAAGGTTTTAAGAAAAGTAGTCCATGATGATGTTGATGACGGATGGTGGGAAGGTCAAAAAGGTGATGAAATAGGACTTTTCCCTTCATTGGTGGTTGAAGAATGTGGAGAGAATGGAGAACCACTTACTCCAGAAGTAAATAATCATATTTTCTAACTTAATTATTAAATTTTAAAATATTATTTATATGTATTAGTTAAATTTAAAGATTCAAACTTGCAATAAATACAATTTGGACATTGCTTCTCCATGTTAATATAAATTTTAATCCCATAATGCTAAAGTTTCTTCACGTGAACAATTAAAGGTTGATGAAACCTTCCTAGGTTCTGTTATGAGGCCTAACACTTAGCAATGCTTCCTGAAACTCAAAATCTCTTGCATTATACAAAAGAAAGTATCACCATGTCTTTATATTTATTACCTGATATGTTTAAAAATATGGCATTATCAATGCAATGAAGGTTTAGCATTACAAATAAATATGTTTGTCATTTCGACTAAGGTTTAGTAATAATGCATCCTGTACAAATGTTATAATGCATTTTTATTAATATTAATTTATTTTCCCGTAATTATACCTTCATTATTTATAAATACTAATTATACTTAAGATGATGTTGTATGTTCTTTTTATAACATAATCAATGTTTGTCTCTTTTTGAGCTTTATGTTTATTTTATTATTCTTTATACTTCAAATCAAATTTGAGACTATTTATTACTATGCTTTTTTGAGTTACTAATTTGATTTACATTGATTTATAATTTCACTTGTTATATTGATCTGTAACTATTTTTGTTTATAGTATTTTAACCAATTAGCTGTATATACCATAGATCTTGACATAAATTTTAATTAGTGAAATTTAACCATCTTACATTGCATTGCACCATGCTAATAAACTTCATGGTCTCTTATAAAATATTTTAATAAAATTATTTTCAATTTGTATAGAATGTATAAATGTAAACAATAAAAAAAAAAAGTGACTGCTTTCATTTATAGGGAGATGATACTCCTCCTGGATCAGCACCACCTGTTTTCACACCACCTGAAGTACCAACATTCATGTTGGCTCCCCAAGCAGTCATCATCACTCAACCAACACCAGTAGTAGAAAGCAATCCTATAGTTGGTAGGTTTCAATTTTAACCAGTAGTAGAAAGCAACCATATAGTTGGTAGGTTTAAATTTTAAAAAGTAGTAGAAAGCAATCCTATAGTTGGGAGGTTTCAATTTTAACCAGAAAAGTTTAATATGGTTTGGTGTGTGATATTTTATTATTAAATGATAAACATAATCACTTATCATAATATATTAACTTTAATTACCCGTTATTCTAAATTTTCATTTATAATTTGTTTTTCTTTTTCTTTTTTTTTCACGAGCAGGAAATTTAATGCTTCCTCTTCATCTGCCTCCTCTTCTCCCATATGCCCCTCATGAGCTCCGTGTGCTTACGTTTTCTCTCCTCAGACCACGCAACACCTTTTTTTGGAGCACTTCTTTCCCGGAAGAATCGTTATTCCCTTGAGCGCCTTCCTGTACTCATCTCTGTCCAAACAATCTTGGTCTTAGCCATACTTGGTCCATATCATCCTTAACCTGTTTGAAATACCCGCTTAAATTTTTATGACTGTGGATTCGCTGAAAAATTTTATGGTAAAGTTTTTCAGGGTTCATCCTCATCATATGGCTATAGAACCTCAGCCTTCCCACCCTAGCATCAGTTTCTAGATCTGTTGTTTCCTTATATATTTCTTCATTTGACCTCAACCTGTATTCTTCAGGTGTTCTCCTAGGTCCGTAGATTCTTCTGAGAATTCTTCTTTCTATTTTCAGAAGGCTCTCTACGCTGGAAAGACAAGAAGTTTCTGTTGCGTAGAGTACCATTGGCTTGACGACTGTGTTATAATGTCGTATCCTAGCTTTTAGAGACAAGTTCTTCTTTTTATATAGATCATTGGTGGCGAAGCTTAATTTCTCTATTTTGGCAATTCATTCCTTAAACCCTTCTCTCTCTAACCCATGGCTGCATATGATTTCTCCCTAGGTATTTAAATCTCTGATTTACTTTAATCGTTCCGTATTTGGTTTCAATTGTTTTCTTCTTAAAATTCACGTCCGTGGTCATCCATTCCGTCTTCTCAAAAAATCTGTAAGCCTGTTTTCCTCACTATTTCCGAGAGAGTTTTATTTGGGCAATCGCCTCTTCTTCTGTTTCTGATAAAAGGGCAACGTCGTCTGCATATGCGAGGCATCCAATTTTGTCGTCATTGTTCTTAGTCCCTAGGATTACAATGATCTGTAAGCCTGTTTTCCTCACTATTTCCGAGAGAGTTTTATTTGGGCAATCGCCTCTTCTTCTGTTTCTGATAAAAGGGCAACGTCGTCTGCATATGCGAGGCATCCAATTTTGTCGTCATTGTTCTTAGTCCCTAGGGTTACACCTGAATTGTTTATTTTCCATAGTTCCTTTATGATCTTGTCGAGTAGCACGTTAAACAGTATTGCAGACAACCCATCTCCCTGTCTGAGTCTCGTTTTGATCTGAAATGGTTCACTGATATTTCCTTGGAATTTAACTTTAAATTCAGTCCCTGTCATCGTTAGCCCTATCAATTCTCTAGTTTTTTGGTCAACTCCATATTCTTTTAGTACTTCAAGTAGTGTTTTCCTATCTACCGAATCATGCGCCTTTTCAAAAACGACAAAAGAGATAAAAAGGTTCTTTTTGCTTTTAGTCCTGTAGTGTTTGATTAATAGCTTAAGGCACAAAATTTGTTCCTGACATGATCTATTTTTTCTAAAACCACCTTGGTACTCCCCGATTTTAGAGTCTACTTGTGGATAGAGTCTGTTTAGTAAAGCCTTTGAGAAAATCTTGTAGGTGACCGGTAGTAGGGAGAGTCCTCTGTAGCTATTCACATCAGTTTTATCTCCCTTTTTATGTAGTGGGTGTATTAAGGCTCTTTTCCGTTCTTGGAGAATCTTTTCCTTGCTCCAGATATCCATCATCAGCTCCATGATTATCCTTCTGAAGTCATCCCCAGTCAGTTTCCATATTTCAGCAAGCACACTGCCGCTTTGTTGTTCTTTAAGGATGCGATAATTTCATACAGTTCTTCATCATCTGGTGGATACGATTCTGCTTCAGGGGGGATGTTATCGGTCATTGTCATTCTTTTCTGAGGTTCTTCACAGTTCAACAGTTCCTCAAAATACTTCGCAAAGATGTTACAGCTTTCCCCACTGGTCTGTGCTAGGGTTCCATCCTCCCTCCTCAATATCAGCCCAGATACCGTGAAACCCTTGATTTTCTGTTTTCAACATTTGTAGAAGAGGCTGGAGTTGTTCCTGTTGAAGTTCGTCTCTATTTCAGATAGTTGGTTATTGAGGAACTTTCACCTTCTTTCCCTCAGGATTTTGTGAGCGATCCTTCTTTCTATTATGTATTTCTTGTGGCTTTCCTCCGTTTTGTTCTGGTTCCAGTTTTTCCACGCCTCATACCTGTTTTGGATTGCCTCCTGGCACTCGATGCTCCTTCATTCCTTTCTCTTGGATTTTTCTCCTGGAGCTAGCTTTTCGGCCAAGTACACCATGTTCTTGGTGGCTTCCTCCCAGTTCTGTGGGAGTCCTAAGTTTTTCCTAATCTCTTCTCTTTTATTTTTGACCAGGTTTTCTCTGTTTATTTTTCGGATTTTTATACCGTTCCCGAAATTAGGCTTCTTCATGGGAATCATCTGAATTTTGATTTGTGACGGGTAGTGATCTGATGTTACATTCATAGCCTTTCTTACTTTAACGTTCTGGATTTATCTATAGGACTTAAATGGAAATGGCTACATGATCTAACTGAAATTTCCCAAGATGGTTGTTCAGGGAGACCCATGTCTTTTTCTTGCTGGCTTTCGCTTTGAAATAAATCAACATGATCTTTAAGTCAGCTTTTTGACATATTCCGATTATTCTTTCGCTATTGCTGTTCCTCCTATTGTGTGCCAGATATTTCCCTGCCATTTTCTATATTTCCTTTCTTTACCTATTTGTTGAAATCTCCTTGTAGAATCTTTACATAGTTTCGCGGTATTTTGCTTACGATCTCTTCCAGATTTCCCCAAAACGCCTTTACTTTCTCCGGGTTTTTTCTTGTTGTCTACATTTATCGGTGCGTGTGCATTGACAGAGCGTATCTTTTGTTTCCAACTTTAAGGGTGAGTGTGGAAATTCTCAAACTATTGCTGCTAAAGTCGACGACCAATCCCAGAAGATCCTTCCTAACCATAAAACCCATTCCCAGGTGAGGTACGTTCTTCATGACAGGATGTCCTACTTTTCCTTTAAGATCCTGTATCCTTCGTAATCAGTGGCTTCTGTGTCCATGCATCTGGTTTCTTGCAATGCCATAATCAATATGTTTAACCGTTTAAGTTCTGATGTAAGCTGTCTCAGCTTTCCTACTTGCAATAATGAATTTATGTTGTAAGTTCCGAAAAATACTTCTTCTTAAGTCTGACTTTTTGTCTTGCTGTCTGTTGATGTCGAAGGTCCTTGTGGTTCTCTGATCCACCATCTTGCCAATCCGAATGCAAATGCTGGGCTTTGTCTTCAGAGTAGTTGTTTTCGTGCGAAGCTTTGTTCATGATATTGTTCCATGTATTGGGTCAGGTTGCACCGATAAGATACAACTGAGGTAGTTAGCCCCAGAGGGTATCGTTTTATTTTCCCTACACCTAGCCTTTATCGGTGTAGGTTAATCCAGCCATACCACGAGGAGGCATGCATTCCGGAGTGCTTTAGATGGAAAGGAAAAGGCGCTCTTAGGGATGCTGAAACATTAACGGCCATATACTATAATTTTTAAATATATGTACCACTCACTAAACCCACAAGAATGGTCTTGGGTTCTGTACTTTGTTGGGAAGTTCTGTTTCTTGGTCAGGATGTGCAAGGAGGTGATTTGACCAAAATCACGCTCAACTGCCAGATTTAGCTCCTTAATCTAATTTATCGAGACCCAGGAAGGTCTCCTGACCCCAATGTCGGAACACCACCGATGAAACAGAATAAATAATTTATCTGTCATTAGCCAGATTCGAACCCAGAACCTTCAGCTCTAGAAGTCAGTGCCCAACCCACTGAGCTACCCCGCTCCCATATTCCTTTAATAATGTTTTAATTCAAACAACCAATATATATTTACAATCATGACAACAAAATTTATATTAATTATTTGTAATTTATTGTATTTTAATGTTTATATAAATCAAATTATACATTTTTGAACATGTTTTATCAGGTAACAGCGAACAATCTGATGCTAATTTTTCGATGGAGTTAACCAGAGGCCAACAAAAGCATTATGATACCCAATTCGAAGAAGTGCAAATATCTGTTAGTGGTAAGCATAAAGATTTTTTAATAAAATGTTTGTATTATAAATTTAATTATTTGAAACACTTTTAACTTTTACTATTCATTAAATGTTTTTTCAGCAGAGAGAAACATTTTACATTGTAAACTATTTCATAGAAAATATATAAAAACAAAAATAAATAAATGTTTTTAAATGGAGTTTTGATCTTTTAATTAAATAATAGTAATTTGTATTCTATATTGGTTGTTAGTACATTTTCAGATAATTAGACAAGCTATTATAGCTTTCCAGCATTTAAGAATAGATCTTTTATTTATGGGAAATTGCAAAGCAAATTTGTTCCAAAAAAAAAAAAAAAGATCTATTTCAGGGCAAAATTGCAAAATAGATCAAATAAGGATTTTTATTTTAAAACTACTGCTCAAGATAAGCATAGATCTGTTCAGAACTCAGTTTTCCTTCAAACGGAAAAAAAAAGATATATCCTGAAAATCCAAGCCCTATTAATTAATAAAGAAATTGAAAAGTTTTATTATTAACACTTCTCACTAGATAAAGCTAGGTATCATTTATTTATTCAAACTTTATGTATATATCGGGCCCAATAGTATTTAACATAACATACCAAAAAAAAGTTTTAAAATCAAACATAAAATAATTTTATATAATTTAAAATTTTTATGTCATTTATACCGCTCATTTGCTGCAACATCATACAATTGAAATTATAATAATTCGTGATTTTTGAGAAGATGCATTTGAATTTTTCTATATTGCATTAATTTAATGCTTGAAAGCTCAGAAATGAGAAGCCATTTAAATTGTTGATCATGATTTTTTAATTATGAGTTTGTTGCAACTAATTAACAATATGTATAATATCTATTATTGTAATATTATTAGTAAAATAACTTTTTTTAACTTTAAATAATCATATCCATATTTTTTCTTTGCTTTCTTCAGTTACTGCTGATGACCCAGAGGTAAGTATTAGTACTTGTACTTCTCTTAAATTTTTCTATATAAATTGAACAAAAAACTGTTTTACAGTCTAAATTTCAATTTATTGAAATAGAAATATTAATTTATTAGTTTACTATAAATTAATTGATAAACTGCTAATGTACACATTCCAGCAACTTTCCTTGCATCAGTATGCTTCTCATATTCCATATAACTCAACTGTACTGTATATCTATATTTATATATTGTATAGTACATGCAATAATATTAACACTCCAATGATACTGAAAGACCTTCAGTAAAATAAAAAATTATTTACTCCATACAACTGTTTTGCTGTTGATAATATTATTACAATATATCCTTTAGATTAACTATATATTGATCAAATTTCTAACTGACTCAAAAATGTTGACTGAATATGCCCACTTAAGCATAAGTTATATAAATATCATAACTGTATTTTAACTTGTCGTTGTAATAAAAAAAGAAAAATTTATGGGCTGCACAGCCTTCATTGTCTCATGATGCTTGTTTGAGGATAAGTTAAATAATTATTCATTTTTCTCAAAAATGTCTCTATTTTCATGATGTAAAATAATACAGTAAAACACTATGTGAATTTGGAATTTTATTCTTTTTTAGAAGAAAAGAACAAAATAATAATATACTAATTTTATGAAAATATATTTTTTATAAACAAGATTCCTTTATGAACCTTTTATGAAGTTAAGAGTCCGAAAGTAAATCAAATAGTCCATGGAAGCCATTCTGTATCAGATCACCAGTATTAAACAATGTTCTTTAGAAATTATTTCAAATTCTTGGAAAAAAGATTATAGATTGCTATAGCTTTCACATAAAAATATGACAGACTGAGAGCAAACTCAACCCAATAAAATAAACCAAGACCCAAATAAATATTTGGTGGCTTTTTACTTTTTTGTTGTATTATTCCTGACATACTGATGGCTAATTCCAAAACAAAATTTTCTGTATTGATTGAAAACTAAGAAAAATATGATTTATGTTTCATTAAAAAAAAGACAAATTTACCATTGTGCGGCCATGGAATAGAATAACTCTTTATAGTTTCATCACAATCTGAGATGTCAGGTACCAAAATAATTTTTTTGTGGTTGATTTGATATGAAACAGTTGTATGAAAGTTTTAATGATAAGAAATTACACTAGCTTTCCTCAGATATAACTTTTTTACAGTTATAAATGTAGTTTTTGTACAAACGTGTCATATGTTAGGTTTAATTATATTGATGTATGATTGATTCGCTTGAACATTATCTAAACCGGATTTACATATAATTAATATGTAAATGCTACTAGAGTAGTTTCAGCTTCAGAAGATAATTTAATCCTTGGTAGCACCTTGGTATTATCTGAAGAAGTGAGTATCCGAAAAGATATGGTTTTTCATGGTCACCGAATCGCTTATAACTTGTTTACCAATTTATAAATTTTTAATGTATTCTCATGCTTTATTGTTGTATCCTTAAAAAATGATATTTCATGTCACATTACCATGTAATAAAACATTGCTAATCAACAATAAATATATTTTTACTAATTAGTCTCACGGTATAAACTTTTCTTGCTGCACTTTCTTCAATGGAATGATTTTTAATTTTTAGGTTGTTTATTAAACAAATAAAATTACATAATATTTTCATTATAAATTACTGTTTAGGCTGAAGAAGAAGAAGATTCAAAAGACAAAACTCCAGAATTTGGTTTGTCAACATGTTCAGTTGTGATCACAGCTGCAACACCAATGATTGAAGAAGCTGAAAAACCCTTTCCTCCTCCAGAAGAAGAAGAGCTAGAGGAGGTGTCAGAAACAGTAGAAAAAGAAGTAGCTGAGGAGGAACCACCATCTTATAGCCAAGCTACAGCACCAGAACGAGAAGAGGATGACCAACCTGCTGACTCGGCTCCTTTTCCTATCAGTAGTAGCACTGGTAGTGAGGAAGATACCTACACGGGCCCAAGTACAGCAGAAAACTCTCATTCTGATAAAAGGAAAAGTGAGATTCCAGATGAGCTTGAACCGCATCAACTTGCTAGGCTGCAAGACCTAAAAGAATCTGATGCGTGAAAAATATTTGTCAATTCTTGTATTTTGACTGAATACAAAAACCAATCAAAATACGCATTTGTAAAATAAGTAATTTCTATTTGTCTACTTGTAAAAGAAACAAAAAAAAAGCAATTTACTTCAATTGAATGCATAAGGGCTCTTTTGGATTTCGAGTAGAAATAGTACTTAATTTGTTAATTTGTTGGTGTTTTAGTTTTGCAAGTCAATCAATATTTTCCCTCTTAAAATTTAGTTAGATCTTTAAAATGTATTTAAGTTCTGAATTAAAAATAAAAAAGAAAGAAAACAATATTTCCATCAAAACTTAAAGTTTTTAAAATAAGAAAAGATTAAACTAAATATAAATAATCTTAAATGTAAAGAAGTGATAACCTCACATAACAGTGCTAACAATTTGATTTTCCTTTATTAGAACATTATATAGGAAAACCTCAATTTTATTTTTCTCTCTTGAAAAACTAAGTATGTAGGTTGTTAAATTTAAAATTCAAATTCCTAGATACAACAAATGTACGATCTTTATAAGACCTACAAAATTCATGTGAAGAAAAGTAAAAAAAATAAACCTATAAATTCAGAAAATATGAAAAGAAATAAAAAATTAAATTAATGCAACTAAGCAACTAAGAAGTCCTTGTGTATTCAATTCCAACTACATCGATTTACAACTAACAAACTACTCAATAACTGCAATAATTTTTTTCAATTAATATTTATTGATATGTCTGTATGTATAGTTATGTAAAAATCATGTATAGGAAATTTTTTATTTATGTGTAAAAATAGAAGCTTTTTTTTTTGTTATTTGTTTTTTGTTGATGTACAGATAATACTTATAGTATATTTGTTAAATTTATCTGATTTCATGTAAAAATGTAAAATTTGGTTTCTCTTACATTTATTAGAATTGGTAATGGCAGCTTCAATATATAATATTGTATAAAGTTGTTTGTATATTAGTAATTGTAATGTTTCCCTGCCTTTAAAGCACAATACAATACATTATTGAACTGTGTATTCAATATGGATTGATTAATCTTTGGTATACAGTGATGGAGAGCTTTATAACAAAGTTAATTATATTATTAACTTAATATATAACCGATATGTTTATAGCACAAATTTACAACATTCAGGATAGTGCTTTTAGAGAAGAGATATATAAGCTAATTATTCAGTTAATTAAATTTTATCATTCATTGTTCATAACTTAAAAATAACTAATAATTAGGAAAACTGAGCAACTAAACCTATTGATTTCTATGATAACTTACTTGCTAGCACTAGTACAACCAAGAGAGGTGCTCAGTGACTGAAGCCTCCTCCTCTCTCCTATCTTCTACAGATACACAAAAGAAAATATATTTTCAAGATTTAAATTAAAGTATATGATTCACATAAGAAAGGAAATTTATATTTGAAGCATATTTCTCTAAATCCTACATCATTTCATCAATAATAATTATATGTATAAATAATTGAATACTTATATATATCATATTTATAAAACTAATTCTCCTAACAGTAATACTGGTTGCGCTGTTGCTAATTAACATTAGCAAACATTGATTTAATTATTTAAAGCATCTAAAAAAAGAAATTAATTTAGAAAAGTAATTATAGAAAATATCTATTTTCTTGATAATTCTTTCGGTAATTAGAAGAAGAAATTTGAGGAGTTGAAGATTTGAAATAAAAAAATATATATATACATATTTATTCTGACAGATTAACTCTATCAGATATTTTAAATTTTCTTTACACTACTCGACAAAGTTATAATGCTTATAAAAATGTGATTCCTTCTTCCAACCGAGAAAACGGTTTAGTTCTTCACAGTGTTCTTACACCAAATTCTTTAACTTTCAATATGTAATGAAATAATCATACAAAAATTAAGTTTTAAGTATGATTTGTAATATTTTTTCTTTAAAGTTAGTGAAAAACTTCTTCCTTTTTTCTTCAGCATCAATAAAAAAAATGATAAATTATTAAAACAAGAGAAATATTAATAATTTGAATCTGAACTAATTTATTTCGATTTTATTCAGAAGGAAAGATTTGAATTTACATTATGTTTCCATTTAGACATTTTGCATGAAAAAATCTAAAAACCGTTAAAAAAATTGATACCTTATCTACTATACTTTTAAAAGTTTCAAAACATTTAAGTGCTGTATAAGTAACTATAAAATTAGATTATTCATCATAAAAATAGGACCTAACCGTCATTTTTTATAGGATTCTAAAAGTAAAGAATTAATAATAAATTGAAATGGAACATTTAAATTAATTGTGCTATTGAAGTAAGAAGTATATTTTAAAAAAAATTTGTTTCTGTTTTTCCTCCACTATTATCAGATAAGCTACCAGCAGTAACTATATAGCCTTGGCTTAAAGTAAAAGCTGTAACTACCCTTCCATTCTACTCTATTCTTGTTCACCCAATCTTTCTCAATATCTTGCCAAGGTACAGTTCTATAAAACTGGTTAATTATTATTTTTTTTAATGGATCAACAGTATTAATTTTTTAGACTCTAGAATAAATATAGAACTTATTTTTATATTGTGTATTGCTTGAAATTTAAGAAATGACAGTACACAAAACACAAATTCATGGAAATGTACATTGAAAACTCCATCATATATAAACTACTTTATATTTTAACTGTGTATACAAGTTAATACATGCACTTAAAATTAACAAAAAACTCATAACCTGATTTATTGGAAGATTTGAGAATGAAATTAATGATGAATATTTAAGCCTTAAACCAGGAATACACTGGAATTGTTACAATGTTATCTAAAAAAAAATACTTTTGCTTATCTTACACAAACTGAATTTGTTAAAAAAATTAGACAAAGTAATTCTCAATAATTGGACAATCAAGTCCAAGCGCCATTTAAAGGTTTAAGGGACATATTAATATCAAAAGACTTAGAATAATATTATATGCAAACATCTTTGACCAATCCATGAATATTTTTGATTTATATTATTAGCCTGTTTCATTTCAATCCTTCAACTCTATATACCTTTTTTTTTATTTCTATCTTTTCTTTAAAAATGTGTTATTCTTTTTATTTTCAAACACTTTTCTGATGAACTTTTTCAACAGTACTTTGTAGCCTGTGCTTTAAAACTTTCTTTTTCATAATGATAGATGAGTGGTGCCTTTTCAAGTAACAGCAACTGTTACTAACTCCTTTTTCTTGATTTGCAGGAGTATTTAATAAAAGCAGTATTAATCATGTATCCTTAGAAAAAAAATATAATCATTGCCTTATGATATATGTAATATATTATTAAATTCTGTAAAGCTATAATACATATGTGAAAGTATAACAACAAACTGCTTTCATTAAATTACTGTTCTGCAACACAGGAAGTTTCCTGATGTTTCTAGATACAAAACTTAATACCAAAACTATGTATATTTATAAATATGTATTTCTTGTAGTACAATCATTCATTTAATGTATCAGCCCTGCCTTATGAATGTTCACGTTTCTTATTGTCTATATAACTTTTTAAGTAAAAGTGAAAAGAAAAAAAAAAGCCTAATTAAATAACATGTATAATAATTTTTCTTCATATTCATTTCTTATTCTTTGTAAAAAAAAAAGAAAAAGAAAAAAAAATTCAAAAAGGAAAAAAAGAAGGAAGATAGCTTAACTGTTGAAACCAATAATAAAATGTACTGAAAGAAATTATATTAAAAATAGAGCTAATGTAATATTAATTACATTATTTTATCTTAAATTAATTTGCAATTATATTTATGTAGTTTCTTGTAAAATTGTTATGAATTGGTTAGAAATGTTCTTTGCATTAAATTTTCAAATGTGTTTATATTTTAAAGTAATAAAAAATAAATGTTGTTTATTTATGCTTTAATGAAAGAACATTTAGAAGTTTTTCCAGTGACAATAGTTAAAAGACATGTCCAATAAAGTGTATTAGTTACTTACTATTATAATGTGTATATACATATATATATTTGGAGGAAATAATTAATTGGAAAAAAAAATGTATATTAGATCTAATCTTCTTCTTTACTTTCCCAAAACAAAATAAAAGTTTAAAAATCTAAATTACCAAGCACGGTTTATTATTAAATGGCTATTGGAATCATCTCAGGTAATGGTATCAATAGATCAATTATATTTGCCAGTTTTCAAGTAATCACCAAATACATCTCAGCTTATTGACATCTAAATTTGAAAAATTGAATGAAAGAAAATAAATAAGCTATTAATTTATAAATAATGAAATTATGAGACATCATTCTTAGTCTTATTATTTTTATTAGTCTTATCACCATTCTTATTCTTAGTCTTATTTTTATTCAGAATTATTTATTTGTCCAATTCATTAGCTCCTAACTAAATATCTATCTGGAGATCCTCTAATGGTGGTAACAAACAGTTTTAACCTAGAATCAATTATTTTTACATATCTATAGATAACCCCAATCTATCACTTTATGAAGCTCTTAAGCTTTGAATTATCTATATATACAATTATAGTTACTGTTTTATTTAATTTCCCTATAAAATTATAATGTATATGAATGTTTTATAAAAGATTTCCAACTTAATTTTTATTCTTTTTGAAAATTTTCATATTTATCTCTTTGAACATTTATAAATTTTGAAGTGATGTATAAATGCAATTTCCAGTTAGATAGAAACCTTATGAAAACAACAAAATTTATAAAACCGAACTGAAGAAACTATATACAAAATACCTATAATATAATATAAACATAATACAAATAAGAAATGAAACAAAATAATCGCTGCTTGGCTAAAAAATAAATAAAAAGGATTAAAAAACATAGGAAGAAAAGCAATAAATCAAAAATAAGTTTCTCTTATAATTGAGCACTAAGTAAAAATAAATAAAGTAGAGTAAAATATAAAGAAATAAACATTTATGTATTCTATCTTAGTACATATTAAAACATTTATAAATAAACAAAATTATAAATAAGAAAACTAATAAATTAAGCAACTTTTTGAGCAAAATATTCTTGTGGAACAGGAAACAACAAGGTAAAAAATATATATACAAGCTCATAAGTTTATGAGAGTATATAAGTTGTATGTTTGAATATGGGAGCAGATTCAGACGATTTTCAGAAATTATAGTAACAGGATTTCCTATATCTTTGGTCCCATGGTGAAGTGGAGAGTATCCATTTTTCAGTCTTACGTTTCTGAAATACCCATGTGATAGTGTAATTTCTTTTAGATATTGATTTTTAATATTTTCATCACTGCCTCTGCTAAACTATTAGTTTTTGTATGTTTAGTGCAGGTAATTTTAAGCCTAAATCCTCTATTCAGTCTTAGCAAACATTGCTAATTTGTTAGAATCCAAGGATGGTTTAAATTGAGAGCAACATTATGCCATAATGGTTTCAGAGATTCCATGACATTCCATAACGGCCAATATCTGTGACGATTGTAAGATTCGACAGTTCCACTCCTTTTGGATAAAAGACTATCTGACAGTCATAAGAAGAAATTTTTTT